TCCTCCTCCTCCTCTCCTCTCTCCTCCCCTCCTCTCCTCCTCCCTCCCCTCCCTCCTCTCCCTCTCCCTCCCCTCCTCTCTCCCTCCCCTCCTCTCCTCCTTCCCCTCCCCTCGCCTCCTCTCTTCCCTCCCCTCCTCTCTTCCCTCCCCTCCCCTCCTCTCTTCCCTCACCTCCTCCCTCCCTCTCCTCCTCTCTTCCTCCCCCCTCCCCTCCCCTCCTCCTTCCCCCTCCTCTCTTCCCTCCCTCCTCTCTCCCTCCCCTCCTCTCCCTCCCCTCCCCTCCCCTCCCTCCTCCCCTCCCCTCCCTCCTCTCCCCTCCCCTCCTCTTCCCTCCCTCCTCTCTTCCCTCCCTCCCTCCTCCTCCCACCCCCCGCTTACTGTTTTATTTAAAGAAACACAAACATTGGGGCTTTCAGTCTTTATTTCACTGACATCATCACCAAGTTAATCAAAACAACTGGGTCGATGGCAAAGGAGAAATTAAATTTTGTTTTCAAATGTTTTATTGTGGAAAAAAATTTTTATCTCTTGATGATGAATAATTAATCCATTTGCGAAGAGATATGGATATGGACACAGACCAACAGCCTCTCCTCACCAGAAATATGTCCCTATCCCTACGGATGTAACAATAACTGAAATATCGTGATATCGCATCGTCAAAGTTCTCACAATAATATCGTGGACCATCACAATATATCGAATTACAAGTCTGTTTGCTTAAATGAAGAGATATGATGCAGCAACAGCTAAAAAAAAGACAGAGGGAACTACATAGACCATGATCCTTTGCTCCGTTTCAGTGCAGACGACAAGAAGAAGCAACAGTTCTAACACTTTTACGTCTTAGTTCTTTGGATTAAGTCTTGTCAAGGCATTTTAAGAGGAAAAAGTAGCATATTAACAGTTGTTAGCTCCACAAAATATCACAATAAATATCGCACCGTGACATGTATGCATTCTCATGATATATCAATAAATATCGTACCTTGAGGTTCATATCGTGACAATATTGTATCGTGAGACTTGGATATCGTTACACTCCTACCTGCCCCGTCTCCTCCCCGAGTTTATGCCCCCCAAGTCTCTGCCCCAAGTCTCTGCCCCTGAGTATTTGAGCTCTGAGTATTTATACAGAAATACAAGTTACATATCAAAGCAGAGTGACTTTTGTTTCAGAGGCTGGTGCTAAATAAACACGCACATGCCTTTACACATGTTCATGACTGATCTACAAATCACATTCATTTACACAAAGACAGATTTAGGGCATGTCCACACGACAACGTTTTTTGGTCGAAATTGTAAAGTTTGTATTCATTTTGGCCTTTCGACCACGCAGAGCCGGCATTTCGGGTGGGCAAAAAGTTTTTTGAGATTGTGTTCCAGAGTGGAGAAATCTGAGAATGGTGATGTCGTGTTGTCGTGTGGACGAGCAAACCGCAGCTTTTGGAAAACGATGACGTCGCGACCCCGTCATCACCAGAGTCCTCCGCAGCCCTCGAACTGGCCTCCACAGAGCGCAGGAGCGTTTGCCGAAATGTGACGCCCAGCAACTGAGAGACGCTGTTAACACTAATGCTAACGACAGATTACGCACGCAAATCAATAACAAAGATTATTTACGAGTAATTAAACTGTTGGATTTTCAGACCAAGTTATTCTAATTCTCATCCTAATCTTATGACTTAAAAGGAAAACTTAGGTTTAACTTTTGCAAAACAAAATGGTTATATTTTTGGGACACATCTAAAACTGTGACCTTAAAGTAAAAAAAAAAAAACTGCGATGGGATCTGCATTATTAAATATTATTATCATTGTGGTGGTGTACTCAGTGCTCCCTTGACGTCTGGACGTGAATATTTCTTGATCCGACGTGTGTGGATTAGGGACGGGCATTCGATGAAATTTTCTTAATCGATCGTCGAGAGAATTAACGATCGATTATCGATTAATCATTAACGTTTTTATATTAAAATGATCATCATTATTATTACTATCTGCACTAATCTGCATAAATAAATTCAACTTTACAACATATAAACCGTAACGACTCTAGAGCCACATCAGCCCGTTTGACATTATAATGTGTTTAATTCAGTTTTGTTCAAATCTCACAGAAACGAAACTTAAAACCACATCGTTAATTTACATAAACTAAGTGAAGATAAAACTCCAGCTCTTGTGTCGCTGATGTGGTTCAACTTCTGTCGGATTAAAAGACATGACTCAGGTGAATACAGGTTAGTGTGACCAGATTTTGTGTTTGTCAAAACCAGGACAGCGTACGGGGGGAGGGGGGCGGGGCCTCGTCATCCACATTGAGCGACTCTCACCTGGAAAAACTTTTTCCCACTGGACACAGAAACATATGTGCTGCTTTATACACTGTGCACATGGACTCACACTTGTCCCAACGCAACGGAAAGTGTGTGGAATTTCTTGTACAAATCCTCGTTAAATCCACATTTGTGCTTCGGTTCGTTACAGACTGACCCACTGTTTGTGTCTCGCTCCTTCTGATGCAGAGACACATGTACACACCTGTTTGGTCACAATACACACAACAACCTACATTCGGTTTGTCGATTAAAATTAACGTAATCGATGAAATTCTTAATGATCAATTATCGATTAATCGACTAATCATGCCCATCCCTAGTGTGGACGCAAACTTTTTTCAGCCCGTAAAAGAAAAAATCCAGGAGCGTTGTTGTGTGGACGTCACCTGAGAGAGAAATCTTTCCACAATGTGAATTTCCATCACGTGTTTATTTAGGTGGAAAACATTTCGCAGCTCATCCAAACTGGTCAGACGCTGGTGGACACTTCCTTACATCTGTCTGAAGGAGTTAACTAACTACTCTGAAACTAACACCCTACTTGTTTACAGTTTCTGTTTGTTAGCTCGGCCTGTTCATGTGTATTGAGTGAAGGGTCATATCAGTCTGATCATTCAGGCCTGTAGTGAGTGTTTTCACACCTCTGGCCCTGACCTGACTGCCCCTGTTGTTCTTTGTTTTAGGTTTTAGTTTGGAGTTGTAAACAGGAGACACATGATGTCTGAGGCCTTCATTTCTGTTCAAGGAAGGATCTTTCCTACCAACTGGACCCATGATTTCAGTGATCCAAACAGAGCAGACTGAAAATGCTGTAACACAAAAGAAGTGGACTTTATTCCTCCACAGTGTCGTCTGCTCCAGACCTCGGGCTGTTACTGAGACGAGCTCTGATTAAAAAGCACTGAGCTGATCATTGACATTTTAAACCACTGCAGCTCGGCTCAGTTAAAACGTAATTCATTGCACAGGCCTATTTATAGTTTCTGCTCTGCTGATACTTTTCAGTGACATCAGGCTCTGAGTGTTGTACGTGTATGTCTATGGTGGAATGTTCAGCTGTTACCATAGTGACACAATGCACAGATTAAAAAAAAAAACACTGTCAAAAACACTGTCAAAATGTTATAGTTTTTGCCTTGGTGACACTTTTCAGTGACATCAGGCTCTGAGTGTTGTACATGTATGTCTATGGTGGAATGTTCAGCTGTTACCATAGTGACACAATGCACAGATTAAAAAAAAAAAAAAATGTCAAAAAACACGGTCAAACATTGTCAAAAATGTTATAATTCTTGCCCTACTGATAGTTTTCAGTGCCTCAGGCTGTGGGTGTTGTGCATGTATGTCTATGGCAGATTGTTTAGCAGTTACCATGGTCACACAATGCACAGATTAACAAACACTGTCAAAAAAAACACTGTCAAACACTGTCAAAAAAGTTAGTTTATGCTCTTCTGATACTTTGCAGTGACATCAGGCTGCGGGTGTTCTACATATATGTCTATGGTGAATTGTTCAGCAGTTACCACTGTGACACAATGCACAGATTAGCAAACACTGTCAAAAAATGTTATAGTTTTTGCTTTGCTGATACTTTTCAGTGATGTCAGGCTGCGGGTGTTCTACATGTATGTCTATGGTGGAATGTTCAGCAGTTACTATGGTGCCACAATGCACAGATTAAAAAAAAAAAAAAAAAAAACACTGTCAGAAAAGTTAGAGATTTTGCTCTACTGGTACTTTTCAGTGACGCCAGGCTTCAGGTGTTGTACATGTATGTCTATGGCAGATTATTCAGAAGTTACCATGGTGACACAATGCACAGATTAGAAAACACTGTCAAAAAAAAACTGTCAAAAAACTCTGTCAAACACTGTCACAAAAGTTATAGTTCCTGCTCTGCTGGTACTTTTCAGTGACGTCAGGCTGTGGGTGTTCTACATGTATGTCTATGGCAGATTGTTCAGTCAGTAACACAGTCAAAAAACACTGTCAAAAAAGTTAAAAAAAAAAAAAAAACTTTCTAAAGGAGCTCTTCCTGGCATCTTTAAATTGTCAAAAAAAGTTAGTTTTTGCTCTGTTAGTACTTTTCAGTGACGTCAGGCTGCGGGTGTTCTACATGTATGTCTATGGTGGATTGTTTAGCAGTTACCATGGTTACACAATGCACAGGTTAACATTATTAACAAAGCCTGTCAAAAACCCTGTCAAAAAGTTATTTTTTGCTCTACCATGGTGACACAATGCACAGATTAACAAACACTGTCAAAAAAATGGTATGATTGTCTGAAAACTGGAGACAAAATAGAAAATGGATTTAAAGAGCACATTTTCTGGAGCCTGTGATCAGTCCGAGCGTTTGTGGTTCTTTTTAGGAGTTTAAAAATCAAATCTCCTGTTGTAGTTCCAACTAAACCAGCTCTTTTTGGTCAGATTATGTAAAAATAAAGGTCAGATTAAAGTCTAGCAAACCCCAGACAGAGCAGTGCTTACAGTTAGCATCACACCACCAGGGAATGTTGAGGACAAAGCTGCGAAGTGTAAATCTGAAAGAGGAAATTTGTTTCTGTTCTGATTTTGAAACATTTGTACCTTTACTTGGAACTCCCTTTTTCTAACAGTTGAAATAAACACGTGTATTTTTCTTTTTTTGCAGTTTCCGCACCAGTAAAGGCCTGGGCTACTCCGCACACTTCGTCGGCGGGTGTTTGATAGTCACCTCTCTGAAGTCCAAGGGCAAAGGTTTCCAGCACTGTGTCAAATACGACTTCAAGCCGCAAAAGGTAAGAACGGCAGCGCACGGACCAGAGCGGATCACTGCGCCGTAATCCGACTCCGGGCTCCGTACTTCATTCTCGTCGTGATTTATCAGCTGTGTTCAGGCTAAATCCTTCCTATAAATCTTGAACCTTGTTGTATAAAAGGAACTCGTGGCTCTTGGGAGACTTGAACACTGAATTAGAGAGAGTCTGACAAATGCTGACAGATCTGTTTTTCTAACTTATCTCTCTCAGGTTTTCAGAGCTTTTAACCACGCAAACGTCCACTGCTCTGCGCTGTTTACTTTGTTTTCCGATGTATGTTTTCTTAATCTGTGACACATGTAGGATTCGGTTACTGTGTAATAATTTTGGTACAAATTTTGGCGGAAATAATCTGCTACTCACTTGCGAGATGTGCTACAGAGCTCTTTGGTGTGATGAAATTTACGGTGACGTCTGCTCCCATTGGACACCACAGTTTTCTAATGTAAAAGTCAATGTTGTTTCCTTTATGAAATCGTTTTAGTTGTTCAATTTCTAACATAATGAACCTCGGGCGTCATAGATTAAATTAAATTTTCCCCGGACATGTCAGTTTTTTGCGTCCTGTTCTGGGTGTCCGGGTTTTTTTTGTTTTTTTTTAAGTGATGCAAATGTCCCGGTTTTCATGATCTTTCATTATTGCCATTAAACTGAGCGTCTCTTGTAGCATCTGTAACTCAGAAGGAGCGAGCAGAAACAAACAATCGGTCAGTCTGCACACACCGAAGCACAAATGCACATTTAACGATGACTTGTACAAGAAATTCTCCGTTTTCTGTCCTGGTCGGGACAAGTGGGAGGCCGTGTGCACAGGTTGCGAGGTGAGAGTAGCTCAATGTAGAAGCTGCTAGAAGTTCCGTTCAGAACCCTACGCAATCATGTTTGAGCACGGCATGACTCTAAATTCCTACTGTGAGTGCGCCCTAAGAAAACTCCCAAATCAGTTATAAATATTGAAATAAACAATGCATCAAGAAGCAATAATTACAGATAAAATAATAAACTAGAGATAAAATGGATAAAAAAGTGTATAAAACAACTGTCTCTGTCTTTTCAGTGGTACATGGTGTCTCTGGTCCACGTCTACAACCGCTGGAAGAACTGTGAGATCAGCTGCTACGTGAACGGGGAGCTCGCCTCTTTCGGGGACATCTCGTGGTTTGTCAGCACCAGTGATGTAAGTAACAGTGATTTTAGACACACGGCCAGTCAAACGTTTGGACACACCCTCTTATTCCACTCACTTTGATTTCTCTCCAGCGACTAAGTCAGGAATCAGAAAACACTATACGGTTTGTAAGAACCCTGGAAGTTGTAGACCGTGCACCGGCCAATCAGTGAAGAGCTGAACCAACCCGAGTTGCAAGAGCAGACTGTTTACTCTGTCCTCCTTTGAACTTCCTTTGTCAAATACAAACTTTGCATTTTTTATTGCCTCTTTAATTTGCAAGTTCGTCTTGCAGAAACGACAATGATCACTGACACACATGTTCACTCTCTGCTTTGTTTGCTGTGGTGCCAACAGTTACTTGCTTGGATGCCACTGAGCGTTCCGGCACATTACGTACGTCACGAACAGATGGCAGCGATTCGTTAAATAAAAAAAAGGCGGGTACGGTCAGACGGTTTCCACGAAGTGAAACCGGCTGATGAATCAGGCTAACAATGAAGAGCACCAAAAAGACAATTTTGCATCATCTCTGTACATCCAAGTAGCACTCCTCCTGAAATGATTTTCACTTCACAGCTGTGCCTCAAGAAATGCCAAAAGTGTGAAGTGATCAAAGCAAAGGGTCTAAAACAATTCTTTAGTTATTTTTAGTTTATTTTTAGTTTGCTATGTGTCCATTACATATCACTATAATAGAAGTGGACTAAAGGAGTTGGACGTTCAGCGTTCAGTTCCAGTCAAATGAGGCTCAAAATTTGGAGCTGAGTTCCATATTAGGCATAGAAATTGATTTATTAACCAAAACACGAAATAAAAACACCAGGATCATGTAGAGCGGGTTAATACGAACATTTTCAGACCAAAATATGAAACCTGACAGCAGCAGTTACAGAGATGGAGGCAACGTTTTTTCATTACTAAGCAAATTGAAGCCAGAGTCGATGGAGCCAGAAGCACGCCCTTGTTCATTTGGAACTTGCAGGTTTGCTACTGTATGTCCATTTATATACAGTCTGTGGTCTGTTCATAGTTTTGATGTTTTCCTTGAAAATCCACAATTGAAATGAAGAAGAAACATGAATTTAAAAGTGTCCAAACGTTTGACTAAAACGTATTTCCTTTTTTAACTCATGAAACCGTGTGATTGAAGTCCAGCGCTCTTTTCTTCTTCCGACCTTCTCGCTGATCTCTTTTCCTCCTGACGGTTGCAGACGTTTGATAAGTGCTTCCTGGGCTCCTCGGAGACGGCGGACGCCAACCGAGTGTTCTGTGGACAGATGGGGGCCGTTTACCTGTTTTCTGAAGCGCTCAGTGCCGCTCACATCCTCGCCGTCTATCAGCTGGGCCCAGGCTACCAGGTACGACTCCTTAAAGGCGCACTGTGTCACTTTTTGGGTTGGGGGGGGTCCGTCACATGCTTGTTTCTATGGATACGGTCATTGCTCAACTTTACGTTTATTCAATTAGAGGTGGTTTTGTCGCTCAAAAACACCCACGCAGATCTGACCTGTAACTCGGTCTGGTTTGGTCCACACTGTGAAACCTTCTAGTATCATCTCCATGGAGAAAAACATTTGACAAACCCTCCACCAGAAAAGTTACGCAGTGCACCTTTAAATCTCTGTTAAAAGGTCCATATCCTCCTGGGACCTGAAGAAGAAAAAAAGTGTTTTGCAATATATATTTGTGTGTGATTTTTCTATATGTTTGATGGTAAATGAACCAGTACGACGGAGTATAAAGGTCAGATAAAAAAATAATAAAATGCTGGCGCTACGAGAATAAAGTCATGATTTTACGAAAATAAAGTCGTAAATTTACAAGAATAAAGTAGTAATTTTATGAGATTAAAGTCGTAGTCAAAATAAAGTGGTAGTATTATGAGAATATCGGCTGCTTGGAAAGTGTGAACGAGTGGAGAATGGAGAATTTGGAGCATTTTGTAAAGGAGAAGAATCTGTGTATCGTTCGTTCATTCGACTGAACAAGGACTGAATCAGGACTAAATCAGGTCCGGAACCAAACCAGAAAGACCAGGATTGAGACCGGGGCCAGACCGGGACTGAAAACTGTTTAGTCCTAGTTTAGTCCTGGTTTAAGTCACGGAAATGGGAAATGGTGTTTCCGTGACTTTAAAATGTGATGCGGGACTAATGCGCCGCATACGGACTGAACCAGGACTGAACCGGGACTGAACCGGGACTGAACCAGGACTGAACCAGGACTGAACCAGGACTGAACCGGGACTAAACCAGGACTAAACCTTTTTCAGTCCTGGTCCTGTTCCCGGTCTCAGTCCTGGTCTCAGTTCTTGTCTGATCCCGGTCTCAGTCTTGGTCCCTAACTCAGTCCTTGTCTAAGTCCTGGTCTCAGACCTCGTTTAGTCCTGGTTTAGTCCTGGTTTAGGCCTGGTTCAGTCCGGAGGCGCAAATAATGAAGAAAATAGTTGGTTTTCTTATTTTTGGTTTTATATTGAAAAACAAGGTTCTTCTTCTGCCGCATTTTTCACTTTGACTTTGATTTTATTACGACTTCATTCTCGTAATATTAGAACTTTACTCTCATAATATTACGACTTTATTTTAACTTCGACTTTATTCTCATAATATTACAACTTTATTTTAACTTCGACTTTATTCTCGTAAAATTGTGACTTTATTCCTGTAAACTTACGACTTTATTCTCGTGAAATTACGAGTTTTTCTGGCTTCGGCTTTATTCTCATAATATTATGACTTTAATGTCGAAATGTTACGACTTTATTCTCGTAGCGCCAAAATTCTTATTTCTTTTAATCTGACCCTTATACTCCGTCGTACCTTAGCGTTTAGATTTTGTTCATTTTATTTTTATTTATAATTTTTTAACATGTAATAGACACCGTGGACGTTTTGGTGTTAAGTCCATTTGAAGTAAACAACCAACAAAAACAACTTTTTTCGATGACCAACATCTCTGACAAGCTTCTACAGCTGCCTCAAAACGTTTTTAGACTCCCATTTAATTTCTTTTTTAAATTTTTTTATCATAGTGCAGTCACAAACTAACTCCTATTAAGTGTTTTGTTTTTTATCCTGGACATGATCGTGTTCTATAATCCCCCATCCCTGTTTAGGCAGAGGAACCGAGTCCCTCTCATTAAGAGTCTGTTTCAAAACCCTTAAAAGAAAGACGGGTGAACTCAGTGTCCACGATAAAGGACACAAATGAATGGAGGATATTACGCTATTTTTTTAAAATTTATGTTATTATGTTGTTTCCTCATCACAAACAGACTTCGAGTCGTGTTTTGTTTCATTCACAAATGTTTAACGCACAAACCCCGGCACCTTTATGCTGCGTTCGTTTGTCCATCCGTCTCCCGCTCGGATGTCGGATATGATGTCACGTCCACGCTTCAACCGTTTTATTATGTTTCGTGTGTCCGTCTTGGAGAAAAACGTGGACAACAAACGGAAAGCTGTTGTTGCTTTAGCACTGGTCGAGTACCAGGCTTCAAAATAAGTCTGTGCTTCAACGACACAACCTCCAGGAAGAATTCAGAATAAATAATATAATTCGGTATAAACAGTATAATTCAGTATGTTAGTGAAGTGAAAGTGTTGGTGTCGTGTGATAGTCGATCATTCTGTGCACTTTAGCGAGCAGGAAATGGGCTAAAAACAGAGTACAAGACCGACCACCAAACCCACAGGCAGTGATACACACGCAGTAAAGTACAACAGTATCAGAGGTGGGACCAAGTTAATAAATGTTTAGTTGTAATTAACTCAGCACTGACAATAAGAAAAAGGTCAAATATACATTGTTATGCGCCCATATTTCTAACATTCTTCTTCCTCTTCTTTTTCTCCACCTTCAGGGCACGTTCAAGCACAAAGCTGAGAGCGACCTGCTGTTTGCGGAGCACCACAAGACCCTTCTGTACGACGGGAAGCTCTCCTCGTGTATCGCCTTCAGCTACAACCCCAGAGCCACGGACGCACAGCTCTGCCTCGAGTCCTCGCCCAAAGAGAACGCCTCCATCTTCGTCCACTCTCCACACGCACTAATGCTACAGGTAACTACGCCTTTAACAGTCAATAAAACTGACTCTTATGAGCTTTAAGTCGCGTTATAATGTTGTTTCCTCCTCAAAAACAGACCTGGAGTTGTGTTTATTTCATTCACACATGTTCGAATAATACTTTATTATAAGTCTGTCTACATCTCCAAAGTTCGAGTGCTTCCATTCCGGGCTTTGAACAGCTGCCTCAGTAATTCGAATTTTCCCAAAAAATCTGGTCCATGTCTAATCCAATCAGCAAAAGTCCTGTAATCACGGTTCCGAATAGTTAAATGTCTTCTATGTCCTCCACGGTCTGGGGCAAACAGTTTCCTCCTGAACCTGCGTTCCTCGTCGAAAAAAAAAAATATCAAGGTTCAAGGTTCTTTTATTTTGTCGTTCAAACATGCGAGAGAAACACACGACAGAACGAAATGTGCTCCCCGAGGCCCAGTGATCCAGAAAGAGATGAAAACAATAATAAATAAGCAATATTAAAAAGTAAATACTAGTGATGGGCGAATGGAGCCTCGTGAAGCATTGACACCTCAGTCGCAATATTGTCTCAAATGTTTCGACGTGTCTGAGGTTTGGAGAAACACTGACCTCTAGTGGACAAATTTAACCCATGGCACACAGGTGTCTCGACACTGATGAAGTATTGTTAGTGTAAGAAAATACTTGTGTGCAGAGCAACACTGTACCTAACAACAACAATAATAATGATGATTTAAAATAATATGTAAAGAGAAACAGAAATAGCAGCTGTAAATAAGAAAATAGGTGTGACCTTGTTTGGTGGAATTAGATCAAAGTGATCCCAAACCATGGATCCTTTTTTTCCACTTGTAGACGCCATCGAAAATGAAACAAATGCCAAAAGTCGCCAAAATCACCACTAACATCACACAATACTCCTCACTACCCAACATGTTTAAGAAATATTGGTGCATCTTTTATACTGTAGCAGTTTAGCGTTCGTCAAACCATGGAAGTGCACTGAACACTCTGAACCAATCACAGAGCGGAACATTCGCTGAGCCAATGAAACGCGTCGATACACTGAAACGATTGACACACAGAGTGAAGCAGTAGGAGGAGGGACCGACACTTCCACACTTTGGTCACGTGAGCGGCTGCTGCGAGACGAGCTCCGAGGCAGTGATTCTGAACAATTTGTTTCAGAAAGAACGAGACGAGCTCCGGAGCTCCGACTCATTTGCCCGTCACTATTAAATACATCAAAACAACATCGTTTAGCAGTTCCAATAAACAAGAACAAGTAAAAAACGTGGCAAGAGAGAGAGGCAGTCCAAGCAGGAAGTCTGTGTGCACTGTTCAAAAGTCTGACAGCCTCAGGGAAGAAGCTCAACTTCAGCTGAGATGTTCTGGCTTTAATGCTCCTCAGTCTCCTCCCAGAGGCAGAGGAACAAGCAGGTGGTGGGAGGAGTGTGAAGGGTCCATGATCCTGGAGGCCCCTCGTCTACAACGCTCCTCATAAATGTCACTGATGGGTGTAAGGCAAGGCAAATTTATTTGTACAGCACAATTCGTACACAAAGTAATTCAAAGTGCTTTACAGAATAAGAAATACATTAAAATCATAATAAAAACAAATCAAAACATAAATAATAATTAACTACATCCATTATAATGTTCAAAAACTAGGCAACTACACCCAGGCTGGATTTGAGGCGGTGCATGAGCAATTAGCAGCAACTTTCTCAAAATCGTATCGCATTAGATATGCTCCTCGCTGAGAAATCTGTGTGTGAGATTTTTGGTGACCAGTGCTGCACCTTCATCCCTAACAACACTGCATCTGATGGTAGCTTGACTAGGACCATTGAAGGCCTACGGACCCTTAACAAGCGCCTTAAAGAGCAGTCTGGTGTTGACCAGTCCATGTGGGATGACTGGATGGATGTATTTGGAAAATACAAGTCCATTGTCTCCTCTGCGCTGATCTCTGTAGCCATGTTTGCCGCCCTATTGACATTGTGTGGATGTTGTTGTATTCCCTGTATTCGAGAATTACTTAATAAACTGATCACCACTGCAATTGCCCCATATCCTGACGATAAGGCAGTGCAAGCACATTTGTTGGCTGGTGATGATTCATACAGTGGGGACTCCTCCTCCTTGACTCTCTCACTTCTATTTAATCATGACGCAGAAATACACGACTAAAATAACATTACCTCCGAGTGTAAATATATAATTGCTCGACTATGAAATCATAACTGAAAATCGAAAGAAGTAGTTATGAATTGATTCTTCTTTAGCAAATATGGGATAATAAAATTATTCTGACAATCATAAAGATTAAAATTAAAATTTAAAAAGAGAGACATAAGTTAGAGAGAAGAGTGCGGAGTGAAAACCTTTCAGTTATTTGCACAGTTAAACAGAAATGTTTTGAGTCTGGATTTAAACAGCGTCACAGAAGAGTCTGTCTCACATGTTCAGACTGTTCCAGGTTTTAGCTGCATGAACCTGAAACTCTGACTCCCCTTGTTTAGTCGTGACTCTGGGCACCAGCAGGAGGTTGGTCCCTGAGCTCCTCAGAGTGTGAGATGTTCATATGACACTAACATGTCACAGATGGACTTTGGTGCTCGGCCATGGAGACACTTGTACAAGCAGAGCTGCTTTAAAGTCTCTGAGCCACAGGAGCCAGTGCAGAGACCTGAGACCAGGACTTATGTGCTCGTACTTCCTAGTTCGAGTCAGGACCCGAGCTGCAGCGTTCTGGATGTTCTGGATGTTCTGGATGTTCTGGATGTTCTGGATGTTCTGGATGTTCTGGATGTTCTGCAGCGTCTCACAGCTCGTTTGGAGAGACCAGTGAGCAGAACATTACAGTATCTAACCTACTGGAGACAAACGCATGGATAAGTTTCTCCAAGTCTGATTTAGACAGTAAACCTTTGATTTTTACTATGTTTTTTAGATGGTAAAAGGCTGCAGATGTTATTGATTTGATGTGGCTGTTAAAGTTCAAGTCTGAGTCCATTATTACCCCGAGATTTCTTGCCTGATTTGAAGGTTTTAGTCACATCCAGTGATCAGATATCAAGTGCGTCGAGAGTCCAACTTATCAAATCGATAGTTAATTTAGGTTCGGAAGAGCAGAGCAGAGAGTCTCTCAAAAGTTTAAAACTCTAGACACTAGAATAGATGAGACGAAGAAGCAAAGCGGGGAAGATAAGGGGCAGGAGAGTAAAGAAAAATCGTCCGGCCTCACCAAGAGCCAAAAGAGAAGCTCCAACTTGTGATGTCATGTGGTAATAAAACGAAGTGCTTCACTGTGTTTTTATTTATTTATTTTTTGTCACTTATTTTTATTGTACATTTTGAACACTGATATTGTAGGTCATGGTCAGTGTCAGGGTTTATTTCTATAGCACTATGCCCCGAAGTACTTAACAAAACCGATAAAATGTAAACAAGGTTAAGAACACAAATAAAAACTATAGAAAATCAACTTGAATCAAAGGGTCATTGTGTAAGTTTTCTGGTGGAGGGTTTGTTAAATGCTTTTTCTCCATGGAGACGTTGTTGCTTTGTCTGGAATGTTTCACGGCGTGGCATTAAACCTTTCTATCTTCACGGAAACCAAACCAGACCAAGTTACAGGTCAGATCTGTGGAGAGGCGACTCTGCTCGCAGTCAGAACGTTTGTTTTTCTATGTATTTCTGAGCTATAAAACCACCTGTAATTCAATAAGTGTAAAGTAGAAGTGTTTAATGCCATACTGTGGGACATTCCAGGCAGAGCAACGACATCTCCATAGAAACAAACCAACCGAAAAGTCACACAATGCACCTTTAAAAGCCAGTGTAAAACAATATAACAATAGAACAATATAAAAACAAAACGGAACAAAAACAAGTACCGTCGGCAAGGAAAGGTACTAAACTTCATTACCACATTTAGAACATTTACCCCCGTTTTGCGTAATAAATAATAATCAGCCTGAAGCCTCCACTGTGTTTTTAAACTCCATAAACCTTCACTAGAATCATCTGGTTAATTTCAGCTCTTGGAATTGCCGATCTCTACTGAACTAAAGCTAAAAAAAAGGTCTGTTTTTGAGGAGGGAACAGCATTATAACATGACTGAAAGCTCACAAGAGTCTATTTTGTGTAATATAAGACCTTTAATGTGGTAAATGTTGAAACTGCCTCCACACATAATGAAACAAACTACTCTGAAATGTGTTTTTTGTAATTGGGATAATGAACACAGAGGTGCAAAAAGGTTTGAGCTGAACGGACTAATGCGCCACAGCTGCTGGAATTAGAATTTCAGAATGAGTTTGTTTGTTTATTTGCATATTTTCAAGGTATAGGTAACTGCAAAAAGGTGTGACACAAAAAGTACAAACAAATAAAGTTCAAAATCGCTGGTTAGATGAACAGCAAAAACTTTATTGCTTATAATGATGTGATTTCTGTTCAGGAGTCATCCGAGTTTCAGAAAACCTCGATTAGAACGCTGCATTAGGTTTTAGCGTCCAAAAGATGATTTAGGAAGAAATTTGGAAGAAAAAGGAGATGTTTTAGAGGTTGCTCAAGCTGTGTGAAGTTTCTGCATGAAGTTTTGAAGCTCCTGCAGATGATTTGGTTTTCCTTAAAAATTTAAAGCAGGTTTAACATCTTTCAGTCGAAATCTTTGGTACTTGAGTGAAGAAATGTTTGGATTGACATTGTTCGACTCCAGTGTGACTGAAGAACAGAAGAAGCTGATGGAAAAGGAAGGTTCAGAGGTTCCACCAAAGCGACGTGACGCCCTTAATCCAGCAGATTATGAAGGGAAGCAGATCAGGGAATTTGTCTCCACCAGCACCATGTGTTTCTTTGAGGCTCTTGATTTGGTGGCTGTGTTCAAGTCAGTGTGGAGATGATTTTGAGTTTGACAGTTACCAGTCATTTTTCTTTGAGTTATGGGTGGGATCATATCACGACATCTGCTGGGCCTTCGCAAATTCCCTGTGAGGGTAAATATAAGCGAGACTGCAGCGTCAAAAACGCTCTGGACGCCAGGGGCGTTTGAAAGGAGGAGAAGAAAGAGAAAGACCCGAGAACCAGAGCTTGGGGCCTGTGGAGCTCAGAGCCCGCGGAGGCTCGAAGCTCGCAGGCAGGGCCGAGCTCGAGGCCCGTGGCCGGGCTGGAGCTCGGTGCCCGCAGATCCATCCATCTGTTGTTGTTAAACAGCAGCTAATGATTATTAAACACATACATAAAGTAAGTGAATGTGTGATTCGCTTCATTTAGTTTTTTTAAATAAATGATGTCATGATAGCAGCACTTGGTCCTGGTGAAGGTCCAGGGTCCAGGTCCACGGTTCACCACTGGGTTTTAGGATATTTCTTATAGGCAATTTTCAAGTGTCTTGAGCAAACTCTAAAATATTAATTTGTATAAAATTTTCACTCAAATATTTTGGCCAGATATGAAACCAAATGCAGGTTTCTAAATTAGAGAATCTAAAAAATAAAATAAAATTGGACCACCCTAGTATCTATGTGTGTGTTTATGTGTTTATGTCTTGTGTTTGTCTTGTGTGTGTTTGTGTATTGGTCTGTTTGTGTCGTGTTTGTGTGTTGTTTGTGTTCAGGACGTGAAGGCCGTGGTGACTCACTCGGTGCAGAGTGTCTTGTGTGTGTGTTGTGTTGTGTTTGTATGTTGCGTGTTGATCTGTTGTGTTATGTTGTGTTGTGTGTTGTGTTGTGTTTGTATGTTGTGTGATGATCTGTTTGTGTGTTGTGTGTGTGTTTTGTGTTGATCTGTTTGTGTTGTGTTTGTGTGTTCAGGACGTGAAGGCCGTGGTGACTCACTCGGTGCAGAGTGTCTTGTGTGTGTGTTGTGTTTGTATGTTGTGTGTTGATCTGTTTGTGTTATGTTGTGTGTTTGTGTGTTGTGTGTGTGTTTGTGTGTTGATCTCTGTGTGTGTTGTGTTTGTGTTCAGGACGTGAAGGCCGTGGTGACTCACTCGGTGCAGAGTGTCTGTGTGTGTGTTGTGTTTGTGTTTGTATGTTGTGTGTTGATCTGTTTGTGTTATGTTGTGTGTGTTTGTGTGTTGTGTGTGTGTTTGTGTTGATCTGTTTGTGTGTTGTGTTTGTGTTCAGGACGTGAAGGCCGTGGTGACTCACTCGGTGCAGAGTGGGATTCACTCGATTGGAGGAGTGCAGGTCCTGTTCCCTCTGTTTGCACAACTCGACTTTCACCAACCGGGCACTAACCAACTGGACACATCTGTGTGGTAAACAAACACACACACACACACACACACACACACACACACACACACACACACACACACACACACACACTATATAAATATACAGCAAATACACAAAATATTTACTAGAGTTATTTAACTTTTTTTTCTCTTTTCTACATAATTCCATAGATCTGGCTTCATATATTTGCTCTTTTCTACACTGCGAAAAGAAATATCTAATGACTTAAATTAAGAACATTTTACTTTATTTGAGTCGATTCAACTTGACAAGTAAAATGCGAACGATTGTTGTTTTTATTTTAAGTGTAGCAAGATGCATTTTCATAAAGTCTTGTTCCACTGGTCGATCATTTTACTTGTCAAGTGAATTTTACTCAAATCATGATAAAACTTCCTTAATTCAAGTCGTCTTAACGTGGCTAGATTTAGTTTTTTGCGGCGCGTGTGTGTATAAAAAGTGTAAAGTAGTAAACATAAAGAAAGGCTGAATGAGGAGGTGTGTCCAGACCTTTGACAGGTTGTGTACTTTTGTGGTCTGGTTTAGTTTGTGTAACATCGTCACCGCAGAAGTGTAAATAGACGACCTGGTTCTATAACAAGGTCACACCGTTTTACTCTTCTCAGTGTTTTTCCTTTTTGCACTAAACTATATTTTCAAATGTATTTTTTAATATTTTATTTTAAGTTGATTTTTATATGATACTTTTGACCCTGTGTATGTACAGATAAAGATGCACTATGTAAGTTTTCGTTTGGGGGTTCGTCATCTGTTTGTTTCTGTGGATATGTCATCGCTCTGTCTGGAATGTTCCACAGTGTGACATTAAACGGCTCCTAAGGGTGTAACTGTTCACAAAAATCACAGTTCGGTACATAACTCGGTTGTGGTTCGGTTCATTTTCCGTACAGTTTGGGAACAAAATCCAAAATCATTTGCTTGTTGTTTATTTGTGTTTTTATTGAACCAACAATTCGTTTTAACATTATACAAACGGAAAAATAAAATAAATGCAAAGTGCTGCTTGGTAATACTAATAAGTTAAATAAATATATTCTCAAATAAAAAAGAAATGTATGAAATATTATAAAATTATTTTAAAAAATATATAAATTCCTTGTAAACAGAACTTTTCAAGGCCAAGGAAGTTATTTGTAGAGCAGAATTCGTACACAAAGTAATTCAAAGTGCTTTACAGAATAAGAAAAAATTTAAATCACAATAAAACTAATCAAAACATAAATAATCATCATAAAATTAAAAAGAGAGAGACATTAATCACATAAATTAGAGAGAAGAGTGCGGAATGAAAACCTTTCAGTCAGACGCAGCTGAACAGAACCGTTTTGTGTTTAGATTTAAACAGCGTCACAGAAGAGTCTGTCTCACACTGTTCCAGGTTTTAGCTGCATGAACCTGAAACTCTGACTCCCCTTGTTTAGTCGTGACTCTGGGCACCAGCAGGAGTTGGTCCCTGAGCTCCTCAGAGTGTGAGATGTTCATATGACACTAACATGTCACAGATGGACTTTGGTGATCGAACATGGAGACACTTGTACAAGCAGAGCTGCTTTAAAGTCTCTGAGCCACAGGAAAGTAACTAACACTAACACTAACAGTTCCAGCATGAAGTTTTACTCAATCTTCATATTTTTGGCCAAAAAAACCCAACTTGTCCGTATTGTCTGTAGTAAGAGCAGATCTGCTGCAGTTACAACGTCCCCAGCGGCTGAAAATCCACTTTCACTCAGGACAGAGGTCGTGGGTTTGGGGTGGAGAGGGAAGAGATTCTGTCCTGGCGAAAGACGAGAGCGAGAACCAGCAACGACAGTAGTTTTGGGAGAATTCACGTGGTTCGGAGTAGGGACGGGCATTCGATGAAATTTTCATAATGATCGTCGGAAGAATTAACGATCGATTATCGATTAATCATTAACGTTTTTATATTAAAATGATCATCATTATTATTACTATCTGCTACTAATCTGCATAAATAAATTCAACTTTACGACATATAAACCGTAACGACTCTAGAGCCACATCAGCCCGTTTGACATTATAATGTGTTTAATTCAGTTTTGTTCAAATCTCACAGAAACAGAACTTAAAACCACATCACTAATTTGCATAAACTAAGTGAAGATAAAACTCCAGCTCTTGTGTCGCTGATGTGGTTCAATTTCTGTCGGATTAAAAGACATGACTCAGGTGAATACAGGTCAGTGTGACCAGATTTGTGTTTGTCAAAACCAGGACAGCGTACGGGGGGAGGGGGGCGGGGCCTCGTCATCCACATTGAGCGACTCTCACCTGGCAAAACTTTTTCCCACTGGACACAGAAACATATGTGCTGCTTTATACACTGTGCACATGGACTCACACACTTGTCCCGAACGCAACGGAAAGTGTGGAATTTCTTGTACAAATCATCGTTAAATCCACATTTGTGCTTCGGTTCGTTACAGACTGACCCACTGTTTGTGTCTCGCTCCTTCTGATGCAGAGACACATGTACACACCTGTTTGGTCACAGCAACCTACATTCAGTTTGTCGATTAAAATGAACGTAATCGATGAAATTCTTAATGATCAATTATCGATTAATTGACTAATCATGCCCATCCCTAGTTCGGAGTCAAGACGGGGGACAGCTGTTGTTAAGACGGCCGCTCAAACTATAAAGCGCTGTGGGAAACACTGACACTCCAAACACGGACGACTTTCCTCATGAATATTAAAGAGCCGAGTCTCCGTGGTAGCTGCTCATGTAGTGGCGGAATGAAAACACACACAAATTTTACAAATTCACTCATGCTGAACAGTTTCAGTCCGGGACTTTCCAAAACGATTCAGCACAAATACATGAACCGTTACACAGATCTACTTTACATTTATTCAATTACAAGTGGTTTTAAAGCTCAAAAATGCCTCAAGAAACAGACATTCTGACGGTGAGCGGGATCGCCTCTCCACAGATCTGACCTGACCTGACCTGAACTTGGTCTGGTTTGGTCTCCATGGAGATAGAGAGTGTTGGGGAGTAACAGATTACATGTACCAGAGTTATGTAATCAGAGTACAAATGATGAGTAACTGTATTCAGTTACAGTTACTGTTTCAGTGAGTGGGAATTGGATTACAGTTACTTTGTTGAAATAAATGGATTACACAGACGGATTTTCCTGTTTTCATATTTTGAGCTAAACCAGGACTAAAACCAGGACCAGGACTAAAAACCAGGACTAAAACCAGACTAAACCAGGACGACTACTAAACCAGGACTAAAAACCAGGACTAAAACCAGAACTAAACCAGGACTAAACCAGGACTAAAACCAGGACTAAACCAGACTACTAAACCAGGACTAAAACCAGGACTAAACTAAACCAGGACTAAACCAGGACTAAACCAAACTAAACCAGGACTAAACCAGGACTAAACAGGACTAAACCAGGACTAAACCAGGACTAAACCAAAACAAAACAGGACTAAACCAGGACTAAAATCAGGACTAAATCAGACTAAAACCACTAAAACCAGGACTAAAACCAGACTAAACCAGGACTAAAACAGGACTAAACCAGGACTAAAACCAGGACTAAAACCAGGACTAAACCAGAACTAAACCAGGACTAAACCAAGACAAAAAAACAGGACTAAACCAGGACTAAAATCAGGACTAAATCAGGACTAAAACCATGTCTAAAACCAGGACTAAAACCAGAACTAAACCAGGACTAAACCAGGACTAAACCAGGACTAAACCAGGACTAACCAGGACTAACCAGGACTAAAAGCAGGACTAAACCAGGACTAAAACCAGGACTAAAACCAGGACTAAATCAGGACTAAATCCAGGACAATATCAAGTAATCCAAAGTATTCAGATTACATTACTCACTTTAAGTAATTTAATGGATTATGTTTCAAACTACATTTTGGTGTATGTAATCTGTAATCTGTAGGGGATTACATTTTAAAAGTCACCTTCCCGACACTGGAGATAGAACGGTTTAATGCCATACTGTGAAACATTCCGGACAAAACGAGAGAAAAGCGTTTGACACAAATAAGTAAAATGTGATCTTTCGGTTTCATATATTAGACTTGCATTTTCAAATCTTAACGTGGAGCTGGTCTGCGCGAGCGTGACGTCCTCGAGATGACGCAGCAGAGTCCGGCGCCCCGTCCACCGTCGCTCGGTCAGAGTGCATTGTGGGACGTGCCCTTCGCGGACGGATGGGAGGGGCCGACACTCGCGTTCATCTGCTGTGCTTTTGTTTTTCAGTTGCACCCTGCTGTCCTTCGTCATGGAGCTGCTGAAGAACTCGGTGGCCATGCAGGAGCAGGTGCTGGCGTGCAAGGGCTTCCTGGTGATCGGGTACAGTCTGGAGAAGGTGAGAAAGACGCACGGATTCGGCCGGAAAAGAGCTGTTATCTAATACTAAAAGAAGAAACATACACAAGTCCTGATGTGACGAGTGTTGACATAATACTAAAAACTCTTACCGTAATTTCCAGACTATTGAGCGCACCTGAGTATAAGCTGCATCAACTAAATTTTAAAAGAAAAAAAAAAGAAAAAATGTTACATATATAGGCCACATTTGTCTATAATCCGCAGGTGTCCACGTCGTAACTTTTGATATTTACCATATTTTCCGCACTATCCAGAGCGCCCCATACGCGAATCCACGAATTCAGTAAACGACGAAGCCGCAGCGCACGCAAACACACACCCACAGACACACTCGTCACTCCACGCCGACGAGGAACGGAGGAACGTACCGAAAAAGCGAGCGCAACGTGCCGCTTCTAGACACGACTGAACAATTGAGTCATCGCGACCGATCCGTTGGTCCCGGACAGCACCTCCCTACACGCCACAACTGAACAAAGCCCAGAGTCACCGTGAACGAACAAACAAACAAAACCACTCACCCATCACACTGTTGGGTTTCCTTTAAAGTCCCACGTGGTTTATTTGTGAAAAAAGTTCGAAAATAGACCATTTAATGACAGTGCGTCTTATAATCCAGAGCGACTAATAGCCTGGAAAATACAGTACTTGACCAATCAGAGCGGAGCCGGAGCGATTAACGATTATAAAGCGTTTTTTTAAGACAACTGAAGGATTTTAAGCTTAGGAAAAGTTTATGATCTAAAAATAGGTAAAAATCGTCACAAAATCGGACATTTTTGAAAGTTGTAGGTGCCCTGTCAGACGAACATGAGCAGTTTGTGATTACATTGATTAATATGAGAAAAATCCTGTCTCGGCCCAGGAGATTTTTTTCATTTTGTCACTACGTCAAGTGGAGGCAGCTACAAACAGAAACACCCCCCAGTTATTTATTTTAATAGAGCTATGAAGCCGCAGGGTTCAAAGTGTGAGAAAGACGTTGAGGCTTATAGTCCGGAAATTATGGTATTTTGATTTTAAATGCTAATACTAAACACTCAATGCTGATCACGATTGCACAATGACTATTAAAATACACTTTCTTTAAATAATAGAGTGTCATTTTCAACATTAAAGGGCCCCATATTACACCATTTTCTGATCTGTTACCATAATATCTGTTAAATAATACTACTTTCTTTTCTATTCCCATTATATCTGTGTAATCCCTTATATTTAATACTTTATTTTATACTTTATACTTGTTCTGATACAGCTCAAGATCATTCTAAATCTTCAGGAAAGGTTCATTTCTATCCTGTGAATGGGATTTAAAAAAAAATAGTATCTAGTTTTTAGTTTTAGTGTCAATTAGTGTCTGATTTTTTATCATTTTGACAAACAAGATCTGACCTAAAAGCCTATATATTTTCTATCATCACAGTTATAATGCAGTCAGTTTTTTTTTTTTCTGTTGCCAGTGAAACAAATATTAGGAAAATGCATCTCCCCAAAAATGGTGACTTCTATTCTAATCTTAATTTCACAGTTTGTAAATTCACAAAATCCGTCTGACGAACAGGTAAAGTGCAAAGTGAGAAGGATGCATGCAACTGTTGATTCAACTGTTGATAAAAACGGATTTAAAGCAACACTGTGGAGGAGTGGAGGTGATACTCGACAGCGACAGTATTCTGGAGGTGTTATTCATGTTTGCCGGTTCAAGGTCCAAAGTCCTTTATTTGTTATTCATTTGTCAGATTTGTTCCTCGAGGCCCAGTGATTAAACGAGATAAGAACGATCATTAAACGTGAGCAATATTAAAAAGTACAGTTGGACGGAATTTTCAGCAGATACTGTAGTACCATAGTCATAAAAAGTCTGAAAACTCAATAAAAAACACAAATTGGATTTAAAGAACACATTTTCTGGAGCCTGGGATCAGTGGTGGAGTCAGCAGTTTGGGGGCACTAGACGAACTTGAGTTTGGGGCCCTCACTATAATGTACTATTTTTGTTTTATTTAGTTTTTTTAGGTCGCGCACATTAACGCGTTAATTTTGCGTTAACTAATTCATTCATTAACTCTTTCCCCCCTGGACGCCGACTAGGAACAACCCATACATGTGTTACTAGTTCTACCCATAGAGCATAACTGCATAAAAGAAAACAGACTTCCACGAGTGATTATAAATGATTTTTACACTTATGAACTTAATTGTAACACAGACATATTTGTATCTCTGGAAACCTTAGACTCTGAACTCTTCATTTATGGATGTTTAAATGTGATTCAACTCATTTATAGGTGTATAACAGCTCACTGAAAATGAGAGTTTACCTGGTCAGGTGCAAACTCGAAAACAAAAAACTACATTCAGCATCTGATATCTGCATGTTCTGAGTACTATATTCATAAAAAAATAAAAAAAATATACTTTGTCAAAGTATTTAAACAGATTTCATATCACCAGATACAGTATAGCCAAGTGTGCACCTGTTTTTACCTGTTGTTCACCTGTGTGCACCTAATTAATTTTTTTCCATTTAACTTATTCAACTAATTTAGCTTATTATAATATAATAATATAATAATTAAACTCTTCCCCGTCAGTGGGTGTCCAGTATTTGTCATCTTGTTTATTTTCTCGAGTGCAGAGCTCCACATGAGCGCTTTTTTCTGTAGCGATTCTGTTATACATCGCATCTTGGAAAAAAAGACTGAAAGAAATATTTTAATCAGCGACTGGCGTGTTTCGTGTTGGTTTTTTCCGGAAACATCGTCACTATTTCGATTAACTTGAAAAAATCTGCGAAAACATATCCTTGAATCCTATTGGTCAGTCTAGTGTGGGTTGTAGTGTGGCCCCACCTATCGCAGTCTCTGTTTAAATGTGAAAAACCGAGCCTGTTTCTAAAGGTCGTCAAATCTCGTCTTTAGTGATACAGCGGAGGAGTCAAAAGTCGTCATTAAGGAAACAGGGGGGTCGTCAAATGTCGTCTTCATGGGGGAAAGAGTTAACGCCGACAGTTATTTTAAAGCTGTTAACGCAGTTTTTATTGTTTATTTATTTTTTTATTGTAAACGTCTGTTGTTCACAGGCTTTTATTTTGAAAAAGTCCACCGCGAGAGTTTCTTTAAGTTTGACGTCTTTTCTTTACACTTTTTTTCACTTTTTTTCTGACCACATGAGATGCAGCGTGTCCGAGCCTCCGTGGGCAGCAGGCGCCGCCTCGTGTGTCTTTCTCTTTGTTCTCCTTCTTCCAGACGCACCTGAGGCGTCCAAATAGAGGTGTCCAGTGCGGTTTTCGTCGCTGCGGTCTCACTTACATTATGCTCTTAGTATTCGCCCTAAGATGATGTGTTATGATCCCGCCCATAACTCGATGAAATCTGATTGGCTAAGACAACTGTCAATCTCAAACTCATCCCCACACTGACTTGCACGAGTCTTTGTTCCAGCCACCGAAGGTCCTGCAGGTGTTTGTTTAGTTCAGCGCTGCAGGAGGAGTCACTGATTTACCCAGATACAACTGGAAGAAAAACTGTGATTGGTCCATTTCCATTCCATTATTTTAACCCTTTGTTTTCCAAGAAATATTAGTCCAAGTTTAAAACAATGATCTAGAAATTATTACTCGTGTTGTGTTTATTACTCAATGAATAAAAAATATTGAAAAAATATATTAATACAAAAATTAATTCAGTATTTTTTATTGAGCCTTCAGAACACCTTGAAGGTTCTGAGGTTCCGTCTGAAAGAAATGCTGTTTGCACAAAAAATTTATGGCTCTTTAATTTAAACCAGGATTAAACCAGGTCTAAAACCAGGTCTAAACCAGGTCTAAACCAGGTCTAAAACCAGGTCTAAACCAGGTCTAAACCAGGACTAAACCAGGACTAAAACCAGGTCTAAAACCAGGTCTAAAACCAGGTCTAAAACCAGGTCTAAAACCAGGACTAAAACCAGGACTAAAACCAGGACTAAAACCAGGACTAAAACCAGGTCTAAACCAGGAGGTCTAAACCAGGTCTAAACCAGGTCTAAACCATGTCTCAAACAGGATTTAACAGGACTAAATCATGTTGTGTGGACGTGTCTCTTCCTTTTCTATCAATAATATTTTTAATTTGGTTCAGTAAAATCTGGGCTTTTTATTTTCTTTTATCAGACAAAACTTCTTATGTGAAGATTTCCTCGTCTTTGCTTCTCTACAGCAAATCAAGTAATCCAAAGTAATCAGATTACATTACTCACTTTAAGTAATTTAATGGATTACGTTACAAACTACATTTTAGGGTATGTAATCTGTAATCTGTAGGGGATTACATTTTAAGTAAACTTCCCAACACTGGTTAAATCCTTACAGAAGTAAAATACCTCCTCTTTACTTCAGCTGAGTGAAGTTTTCTCGTACACAGTGTTGCTTTAAAAATGAAATGACAAATAATACACTGCACAGGTCTGAATATTTAGTCCTAAACATAAAAAAAAAATAAAATAAAAAAATACACTTGTTATATTTTGGAGTTTGATTTAAGCTGCAGCGTCACACCTCTAAATGGACTTGATCGTAAAGCTGCATTGTGTAAATTTTCTGGTGGAGCGTCCGTCAAGTGCTTTTCTCCATGGAGATGTGATTGTGTCTGGAATGTTTCACAGTCGCCACGTTTACATGAGAGTTTTAAGTCTGAATAAAAATAAATTCTGCTTTAAAAAGACCATGTAAATCAGACATGTCAAACTCAGGCCCGAGGTCCAAATTTGGCCCATGATATCATTATATTTGGCCCATGAGGATCACATCAAATATGTATTAAAGCTGCTCGCCGACTTACAGATAGACTATAGAGACATTATTTATTTAATTATTTTTTATTATTTTATATTTTGTTTGTTCTGGATTCAATGTTTAAGCAAAACTATTATTAAATATTTATTTTAATAAGAAAAGGTTTAACTTTATATATCTCAAAAGAAGAAAAAACATGCAAATTTTTCAGTAAATATTTAGTTTAGCCCATAACTTAGTCACAGTTTTTAATTTTGGCCTCTGTGAATTTGAGTTTGACACCCCTAAACCAGGTCTAAACCAGGTCTAAACCAGGTCTAGGTCTAAACCTAAAAGGTGTAAACCAGATCTAAACTAGATCTAAACCAGGTCTAAAACCAGGTCTAAACTAGGTCTAAACAGGTCTAAACCAGGTTCTAAACTAGGATCTAAAAGGTCTAAACCAGGTCTAAACCAGGTCTAAACCAGGTCTAAAACCAGGTCTAAACTAGGATCTAAACTAGGATCTAAACCAGGTTCTAAACTAGGTCTAAAACTAGGTCTAAACTACCAGGTCTAAACCAGGTCTCAGGTCTAAACGTCTAAAACTAGGTCTAAACCAGGTCTAAACCAGGTCTAAAAAAACTAGGTCTAAACTAGGTCTAAACCAGGTCTAAACCAGGTCTAAACCAGGTCTAAACCAGGTCTAAACATCATGTAAACGTGGCCAGTGTGACATTAAACCTTTTTTATCTTCATGGAGACTAAACCAGACCAAGTTACAGGTCAGATCTGTGGGGAGGCGACCCCGGCTCGCAGTCAGAATGTCTGTTTTTCTCTGTATTTTTGAGCTATAAAACCACTTCTAATTAAATAAATGTAAGGTTTATTTGTTTAATGTCAATGTGACGGACGTCCAACCAGAAAAGTTACGCAGTGCACCTTTAAATATGAAAAAAAAAATCAACTTCCACGTCATTACGCTTTGAGCACTCGCAGTTTTAATGACGAAACGCACGAGAGAATCATGCAAATGTGATTCAAAACACACGACCGGTCAAAAGTTTGGACACACGCTCTTTACTCTGGGCTTTTTTTCTTTTTGTTTACAACTTTCTACATCCAAAAAAAGTGAAATAAAATCAACAATTTTTTATATTCAGATCCTCAAAGCGTCCACCTTTTGCTTTGTCGACGCCGTTAGAAAACCTTGGCCTTTTCACTTCAGGGTCAAGAAACGACAAAAGTGCAAAGCAAAGTGCGGCCGGTTTTATTTGTTCTAAAATCTTAAAACAAGATTTTATATTTTTTGTTTGTTACGTTCCATATTTTGTGTTGGTTTGTTCGTAGTTTTGATGCTCCAGTGAGAATCTCCAGGGAAATTAAGACCAAACTGAAATTAGAAAGTGTGTCCAAACTTTTTGACTGGTAGTAAAAGTACTTCTTTATACTTAACATGACTTTTAATAACTTTTTACGTCCTCTGCTCCCTCTCTTCTCTTTTTTCCTCTCCTTTTTCTTCCTCTGCCCTTTCTTCTTTCTCCCTCTCTCCTCTTTCCTCCACTGCACCCTCTTTGTTCCTCTGCCCTCTCTTCTCCTCTCTCATCCCTCCTCCTCTCCTCCTTTCTCCTCTGCCCTCTCACCTCTTTCTTCCTCCTCTCTCCTCTTTCTTCTTCTTTCTTTCTCTGCCCCTCTCTCCTCCTCTCCTCCTCCTTCTCCTCCTCTCTCCTCTCTCCTCCCTCTCTCCTCCTCTCCTCTTCTCCTCTCCTCCTCTGCCCTCTGTTCTCCTCTCCTCCTCTGTCCTTCTCTCTCCTCCTCTCCTCCTCTCTCCTCCTCTGCCCTCGCTCCTCTCTCCTCCTCTCCTCCTCTCTACTTCTCTGTCCTCCGCTCCCCCTCTCTTCCTCCTTCTCCTCTCTCCTCCTCTGTCCTCTCTCCTCTTTCTTCCTCTCTCCTTTTTCTACCTCTCTCCTCCTCTCCTCCTTTCTCCTCCTCCTCTGCCCTCTGACCTTTTTCTTTCTCCTCTTCCTCTTTCTTCCTCTCACCCTCTCTCTCCTCCTCTCCTCCCTCCTCTCTCTCCTCTCTCTCCTCTCTCCTCTCTCTCCTCTCTCCTCTCCTCCTCTCTCCTCCTCCTCCTCTCCTCCTCCTCTCCTCCTCCTCCTCTCCTCCTCTCTCCTCCTCTCCTCTCCTCCTCTCTCCTCTCCTCCTCTCCTCCTCTCCTCTCCTCTCCTCTCTCTCCTCTCCTCCTCTCTCCTCCTCTCTCTCTCCTCTCTCCTCTCTCCTCCTCCTCCTCTCCTCCTCTCCTCCTCTCCTCCTCTCCTCTCTCTCCTCTCTCTCCTCTCTCCTCCTCTCTCCTGTCCTCCTCCTCTCTTCCTCTCTTCCTCTCCTCCTCCTCTCTCCTCTCCTCCTCTCCTCCTCTCCTCCTCTCCTCCTCTCCTCCTCTCTTCCTCCTGGTCAGTCGTCGAAGCTCCACGTGACTCGTCAGGTCCTGGACATCGTCTTGGCGTTTTCTCGGTACTTGAGTAATTTACCCAACGGCATCTTGCTGCTCAAACAACTGTGTGACCACATCATGTTCAACCCGACCATCTGGATCCACGCGCCCTCCAAGGTAACACACACACACACACACACATACACACACACATACACACACACACACACACACACACACACACACACACACACACACACACACACACACACACACACACACACACACACACACACACACACACACACACACACATACACACACACACACACACACACACACACACACACACACACACACCTGGCTGGCGCGGACAGGGAACAGGGCTGGACTAACCTTTAAAGGCTGATGTGTGCATTTATCACAGTTTTTTTTGTGTGTTTTTAAACTAAAAATATCCTGTGTTGCACTTGGGGTGAAGCTGCTTTGTGAAAGGGTAAAACATGTTTGAAAAGAGGATTTTAAGACCCCGTTTACACTAAAACAAATCACAGTATCACCGTATTGGAAACGATCTGCGTCCAGACACGTCGCTTCTGTGTCCACAATCCTTCCCTATCCACACAGCTTTGAGCACATTTGTTTACATTTTACAGAAAAGAAACGTAAAACCGCATGACTCATTTGCATAAACTAAAAGCTCAAAAATGCAGTTCGGCTTCTGTCAGACTAAAGGCTCAGTTTATTATGACCTCGTTTTACACTAAAACGGATCCGCGTATCACCGTATCGGAAACGATCTGCGTCCAGACACGTCGTTTCTGTGTCCGCAATCGAAGCGTTCCCCGTCCACACAGAAACGCGAAACCGCCTGAAACGCTCCTCACGTGATCGGCTGGTGTCACGTCTTCACGATGTCCCGACGTCACGTGAGCAGTAAAAACAACGAAGTCAGAAGTTGCAGCAGCTGATTTTGAGCCGAGGGAGATGGCGAGTGTAAAAACAGTCTTTTCGTGGACCGACGACGAGGTTAATTTCTTACTTAGCGTAAGACTGGATTTTAAGACGAGCACGACAGCGCAGAGTGAGGACTGGCTTGTTTTTGTGTCCGCAAGTCTTCTCTGTCCACACAACTTTGAGCACATTTGTTTACGTTTTACAGAAATGAAACTTAAAACCACATGGCTCATTTGCATAAACTAAGCTCTCAAAAAAAACCAACAGCTCTTTCCTTGTGCGCTGATGCGGTTCAACTTTTGTCAGACTAAAGGACACAGTGACTCAGTGGAATATGAGTGTTCTTTCTGTGACAGAGGGGTGTTCTGCTGATGGTGAGTCTGTTCTGTGTTTCTTTCGTGTTGGAGATGGTTCATGTTAAACTTTTCAGAGATTATACGTCTGCAGGTCAAACGCACAGACACACGTTTATATGAATGGACAGATATTCTAGCCCAGGGGTGTCAAACTCATTTTGGTCCGGGGGCCATATCCAACCTACTTTGATCTCAAAGGGGCCGGATCAGAAAAGTCATGTCATATAAACCCCAAAAATAACAATAAGTTGAAATATTTGTGCAGAGAAACACAAATCTATTACAGAAATCTTTTTTAATTGATGAACTCTTTCTTTTACACAATATTATAATATTATGAACAACCTGAAACTTTAAGAAAAATACAATTTCAACACAATGTTTTAACATGAACTTGCCTGTAAACAGGAATAAGTCCATTTTTGTTGTAAAATTCTGCACTCGGCTTCCACTTTTCTCATGTTGGACATTTTTCTGATGAGGGTGTCACGGTCAACAGTCAAAACGATCGTCCTTTAAGAGCGTTTGGAAAGAGACAAGTCTTCATTTGTGCTGCTCTGGTGGGAGGGGCCACGTACAGAGACGCTGGAGACGCTGCTGTGATAAACACCACAGAAAATTAACAAGATTTTAATAGAAAATATAATTACAACACCTTTAATCTGGCCCTCAGCTGACTTTCTACTAAAATAGAAAGTCAGCTGAGGGCCAGATTAAAGGTCTCGGAGGGCCGGATCTGGCCCCCGGGCCTTATGTTTGACACGTGGTCTAGCCTCTTAACATTTTGGCGGTGAATTACGTCGCGGTGCACAGATCTACATCAGAGTATCAGTGTTTTCAGGCGTCCACACGGTGCCGGATCAGATCTGTACGAACAAGAATTCGTGGGAGCTGGAGGCACCAGATCGTTCCGTCTCTGGAGCAGTTTTGAATCGGATTAGTGTGAACGAACACTGCATCCACAACGAAAACGACTCGAATACAAACTAATGTGGACGGGGCCTAAGTCTGTTTATTGACTGAAATGTTGCGCAGTGAAGCTCTAAGAAGACACGACTGTGATGTAATACAGCTGTGTAATTATCTGAATCACAGTTGTGTTTTCAGTTATTGCTCAACTTTGTTACAAAACTGTGTCATTAACGAGGGCGTATTATGGATATTTATACCATGTTATGTTGTTTCCTCGTCAAAAACCGGCGAGGAGATTTTAGATCCATCCATGCATGTTAAAGTAATTTAGTGATCTCTCCTGGGCCCTATTCAAACCCTCTTTACAGTCAGATGTAAGATTCTGTACGAGGCTCCGCCCACATAAATATACAAAAACATGATACAAAACTGCAGAGGTGGGTTGTTTTGCAAGTCTCAAGTCTTTGACCTCAAGTCCGAGTCAAGTCCCAAGTCAAAAACAGGCAAGTCCAAGTCGAGTCTCGAGTCACTGGCCCATAAATCCAAGTCAAAGTAACTTAGATTTTTGCAATTTATATTAATTTTAAATTAAATTGTACTTTAAAAAGTGATAGTTTATTTATATTTGAGTATTTATAGACTATATAAGAAGTTGTAGAAATTTAAATCTTTCCTTTTTAAATGTTTTGACAAGATCTTAGTGTGAATCATTATAGTCAGAATAGAAAGAATTCAGTTTTAAAAGTGCTGCTCAAGTCACAGGCCTCAAGTCCGAGTCGAGTCCCAAGTCTTAGTCCATTTTATCAAGTCAAGTCTCAAGTTCTAAAAACAGTGACTCTGCAAAACTGCACACAACAACTTCACAAACCTGATGCGATGTGCAGCAGTTTCATGAGTGGGACACATGCAGATTGTGTTGTGTCAGTGCTCTGAAGGGGGAGTGGCTTACTGCAGAGAGCAAAGGGAGGGGAGACTCGAAACTGAAGGTGAAACTTATTAAACGTGTTTGTGGTGGATTTTCAAATTAATAAAAGGTAACATGTTGATTTAAGTTAGCAGTTAATAAACGTAAAATACACCGTCTTTAGAAATAGAATTAAATCTTCTGTTCTGAAACTTTCTCAACATATTAATGCAACTAATTCGGTAGTTAGAAAAAAAATATAAAAATAAATAAATGACTGTGATTGCTGTAACTGAGCAGCCCTGTGACTATAAAAGTTTTAAGTAATTTCTTCTCCTCCTCCTCCTCCTCAGGTGCAGTTGACCCTGTACACGTACCTGGCGACGGAGTTCGTCAGCACAGTGACCATCTACAACGCCATCCGCAGGGTGGGCACGGTACTGCAGGTGATGCACACGCTCAAGTACTACTACTGGGTCGTCAACCCGCAGGACCGGAGCGGAGTCCTGCCCAAGGGAACAGGTCAGTGCGCACGACAGAAACAACAGAGGTCTGTGCAGTGGACATTTTACTTCTCAACTTTCTGACTGAGGTTATGTTCAGACTCCAGGGCTTAATGCTCACTTCAGATTTTTTTGTGAAATCAGATTTTTTGCGAGGTCGTTCACATTTCCAATTACTGTATTTTACGGACGATTAGTCGCTCTGGATTATAAGACGCAAGATAATTGAACAAAATTTTACTGAAAACATAAAATTACACATGATCCATCCAAGCTTGTCTTCTTCTATTTTTAAAACATTTCACAGCCGCTTTAACTCTGCAATGCCTCTTTTATATTTTCTTTCCAAACTCATTCACTCCGTTCATTTTGTTCGGCCCAAACTTTGCCAAAGAGTGTAGTGAGTCAAGATGGTCATCTGCTCTGAGCGTCTGTGTTCGTAACAATCGAAAAAGTCTCTCTAAGTGCAGATATTTCTCAAATACCGTATTTTCCGCACTATTAGTCGCTCTGGATTATAAGACGCACTGTCATTAAATGGTCTATTTTTGAACTTTTTTCACAAATAAACCGCACGTGGGACTTTAAAGGAAACACAACAGTGTGATGGGTGAGTGGTTTTGTTTGTTTGTTCGTTCACGGTGACTCTGGGCTTTGTTCAGTTGTGGCGTGTAGGGAGGGTGCTGTCTGGGACCAACGGATTGTCGGCGTGTTCGCAGTGACTCAGTTGTTCAGTCGTGTCTAGAAGCGGCACGTCGCGCTCGCTTTTTTCGGTTCGTTCCTCCGTTCCGTTCCTCGTCGGTGTGGAGTGATGAGTGTGTCTGTGGGTGTGTTTTGCTGTCTGCTCCGTGTGTGTTTGCGGCTTTGTAGTTTACTGAAGTCGTGCTGGGATTCGTGTATGGGGCGCTCTGGATTGCGGGGGCACGCGGTCGTTTTTTGATGCGGTTAGAGGCTTAAGACCGCGTCTAATTGCCCGGAAAATACGGTAAATGCGACTTGTATGTGATCTCCAGTGTGAACTTTACACGCCCCAAAAGTGTCCCACATGCGGAAGTCGTCTAAACTCTGGGCTCGTCTCCCAAAATCCAGTCCAGTTGTTGGTAAAATGGACAGGTTAAACGTCCACGGCCGCTTCGTTTGTTTGAGTCTTTATCCTCCTTGTATTTGTCTCACAGGCTTTTTATTTTTCGTTGACATTGGAGCCAGGACCGTCTGTAGCAGCGCTCTGACATTTCTTTGGCGATCATTTCAAAAGCCGCCCGGTTCCTATAAGACCCCTCCAAATGGACCTCAATACAGCGATCCCTCCAAATATTAATAAACTCTTTAACCTCGATTTCCCTTAAGCCAATGAGGTTCATTTTGTCTTATATACTTTAACTTCTTTTGTTCTTTTTAAAGACAATGCAGTAAAGTGTATTTACTTTGTTGACGTGTTTCGGCTGCTGCTGCATCTTCAGAACTGTCCCGGTGTTGGTGGTGACGTGTCGTATATCAGCTGCTGTTACTTCGTGTGGGTGTGGTCAGACCTGATGGACCTGCAGGTCGCTCAGACTGACCACGCCTCCCGTCGCCCGGTGTCTCTGGAGGAGGGTGTCCCAGGTGTGTGAGAAAGGAGGAACGCTCCGTCATCACGGTTAAAACGTCCAGGGAGACGCACCAGAACACAAAAACACAAAGCAGAACAGGAAAACCTAAAATCCGCCATATCAGACACTGTAAAAGGAACAACCACATTCTGGATCGGGTCGGGGCTCGGGTCATTGGATCGGAAAACAACAAGTTCAAACGCTGGATCAAGGAGGACATTGAAATCAGGAAACGAGGCACGGACAGGATTAACCGTGATGACGGCGCGTTCCTCCTTTCACACACCTGGGACACCCTCCTCCAGAGACACCGGGCGACGGGAGGCGTGGTCAGTCTGAGCGACCTGCAGGTCCATCAGGTCTGACCACGCCTACAGGAAGTAACAACAGCTGATATACGACACGTCACCGCCAACACCGGTGACAGTTCTGAAGATGCAGCAGCAGCCGAAACATGTCAACAAGGTAAACACACTTTACTGCATTGTCTCGATTTCCCTTCATTGACGAGACTCTGAGCCTGACGTGTAGGTGGGATGAATGTGACCTGACTGTTCAGACTGAAGTCGCATGTCAAAAGTTCAGATATGTATCGGTTTCAGGAGCACATATCCAAGTGTCCTGGGTCACATTTGAAAAAATCTGATCTGTGTTGTCCAGACTGTCATTAAAAGATCAGATACAGGCGTATGGAGCAGAAAAATCGGATTTGGGTCACTTCAGGCTGCAGTCTGAAAGCAGTGACTCTGATTCCCTCAAAACTCAGCATTTCATCCACTTAATGTTGTTTTGCAACCGTGGCAGCGCAGTTTTACAGTGTTTTCCTTTTCATTTGAGCTGCCAGGTCTAAGAAACAAAACTTTCGTGTCAAGATAAAGATAATTTACACTTAAGATTGTTCCAAAATCACATCCAGCTTTTGTTTGACTTTGCGTTGGTGCATCAGAGGCTCCATTTCCCTCAAACACATTTATGGCCCAAACAACACTTTGAGTCAGTGGTTAGGATGAAAAAAAAAAAGTTGATTTGTGACATTTTATTTTTTCACGATGGAGTTCAGGTTCAGGTTAGAGCCAGGATCAGAGTTCGATTTAGAAATGTGGTTGAATTTTAATAATTGCTGTAATTACATCTGCTGATTATGAAATTATCTGGAAAATGCAGTCGTTAGTCGTCTTTAAACTGCACAAAAAAAAACTAAAATTGTGCACCATTCTCTTCCATTTTATAAAAAAGTTTAAATGTTTAACTCTGGTCAAGATGAAAAAGGAAAAGAATAAAGTGTAATCAATCAATCAAATCAAATGATTGACGTGAAACGCTAAGCCCCGCCCCCAGACCAAATGCCAGGAATTTAGGGAATCCCGACACGGACTGAACCCTGAACATCTCAACAAACAAAATGTGTTTCTTTGCTTTTTATTGCCTCATTTTTGTCCATTGACAGATTTTTTCACTTCACAGTAACGAATCTCCTCCACGAACGCACACAGACTCACAAAGTTTATGATTTAAGAGAGAAAAGTTCAGTCCAAAGTGTCTGTTTGTGTTTGTGTCACCGTTTTTCTTCTGTTAACTTGATTTTCTTATTTTCAACGTCAGATACAAACTAAATATTTAACTTGACTTGTGGACTTTTGTATTTGTTATTGAGAGGATCACTGACAAAAACAAACACACAGTTCAACATTTTTCTGTTTTATTTCTTTGTGTTTTTTTCAGACGGTCCGAGGCCAAGTGAGAGGGACATCTTCCACCTGAGAACCTTCCTCCTTCTGTTTGTGAAGCAGCTCATTATGAAAGTAAATGCTGATAATGACAAAAAAAAAGTTTATTTATACTCAGTGGCTTTTTTTTTCTTTTAAATGTTGTTACGAATGGATTTTCTGAATTTTCACACCAAGTTATTCTAATAATTTTCACCCAAATCTTATGGCTACAACCGAAAACTTTTACAAAACAAAATGGTTATATTTCTGGGATACGTCTGAAATCTTAAAGTAAAAAAAAAAAAAAAAAAGTGATGGTATATTAATTATTAAATATTATTATCATTGTGCGTAGCAAATATTTAGCGAACAGTGAATATTTATTGATCTGACACGTGTGTGGACGCACATTTTTTTCAACCCTTAAAAAAAAATCCAGTGTTGTCGTGTGGATGAGCCCTTAAATACTTTCCGAGGTTTCTGAACAGTTTGCGTTTAGTTAAGTCTGGACATTTGGTTTTCTTAGCTCTGAAATAAAACACTTTTACACGAGCATCTGAGCACAAGTGAAGATGATCAAACACTTCACACGTGACAAAACTCGCAAACATGTAAATGGAAAACACAAAGGTAAGGGACCTATAACCCTCCTGTGAAAACATTCAGTCTAAAATCTTGATCTGTTTCTCTACATTTTGAGAAAATTGGAGGTTATTTGCCAAAATGATTGGCCTGCGAAATGATGTCACATTTTTTGGAACATCCTGTATATTCAAATCCTCAATTTTCTTTTTTTCATTTAGTTTTTTAGACTTTCTATATTTGTTGTGTGTGTGTGTGTGTGTGCACTGGAAAAAAAACAAGATCTATCTCACGCTGTCCTCAGGGTCACATTGACATGAAGAAAAAATTCTTTTTTCCTTCCCGCGCTCTTGGGGCAGGTCAATCAGACCCAAAAATGTATTTTCTCGCCTGGCAAGAATTTATTTGAAAATAAATTTTTGGTTCTGATTGACCCGCCCCAAGAGAGCGGGAAGGGAAAAAAATAAATCTTTGGGTCAATGTGACTCAGAGGAGAGCGTTAAAATGACTTAAATTAACATTTTACTTTAAGTTTTGTAGCAAGATGTATTTTAATATTTTAAGTTACAAAAAGATCCTTCTACGTGTCAACTGAAATTGACTCATATCATGATAAAACTTTCTAAATTGAAGTCATCTGAACTTGAGTAGATTTTGTTTTTTGCAGTGTTGTGTATAGATGGATAAATAAATAGATAGATAATGGATAGATGGATAGTAAAAAAAAAAAAAAAAACATTTAATGAGAGGGTGTAGGTAGTTTATATTTCCAACAGAATCCTCTAAACCTTTCGCTTCATTTTTATTTTTATTGTGTGCATTAAAATGTCCAAGCAAACCACAAACCAGCAGCTTTACCTTGATATTTATTTACATTTCTTTCTCTAACCTATAAATTTTTGTTTTGTTTAGGACCACGGAGTGAAAGAAGACGAGGTCCAGAGCATCCTGAACTACCTCCTCACGCTCCACGAGGTCAGCGCAAACACAAACCTCCCCCAGCAGATGGCGCCACAACACCACGGCACCGCTGTGAACTCCCAGCTGATAAAAACACACACACACACCCAACGAACGAGCACGAACACGAGCCGGGGTTTGGGAAGTAGCGCTGTTCCTTGTTATTTTTCCGCGTCTGCCAACTCCGAGTCCTGACAGAAGTGGTTTGGTTCACCGAGAGCTGTAATGTAATACAAATGAAGCAGTCACTCAATCAGGACGATGCGAAGCCAAACAAAAGCAGATCAGGAAATTATATGAGAAGGGCACTTTCATGGAGAGGCAGAAGATTTTAAACAATACATCAGATAGTTAGCGAGACCGGGAGGGGGATCGGCCTGTCATGATAACAAAAAAAAAAATTTAAGCTCGACGTATCGGTGTCAAAAGTGTAAGTAAAGACAGACGATAAACGATAACGAAAGTAAGCGCGGATAAATTAGACTTGGACTTAGAGAAACTTTATTTCTGTGATTAAAGTGTTATCGTTTGCAGTTATAAATGCTCCAATTGGCGTTGCATTTTTCTCTTTTTCTTTTTAAATCGCCAAACCTCCCACCCTGAAATTATTGATGGGCAAATGGACCATAAGTCGCAACAGCCAGAAAATGCATAATGAAGAAGAAAAAACGTATGTAAGTCGGACTTTTTGGGAGAAATTAAAATCAGAGACCAGGAACCGACATTTCTTGTTGAAAGTCAAGTTCTAGTACTCTGTTTTCCAGGCTATTAGTCGCTCTGGATTATAAGACGCACTGTCATTAAATGGTCTATTGTCGAACTTTTTTTCACAAATAAACCGCACTGGACTTTAAAGGAAACACAACAGTGTGATGGGTGAGTGGTTTTGTTTGTTTGTTCGTTCACGGTGACTCTGGGCTTTGTTCAGTTGTGGAGTGTAGGGAGGTGCTGTCTGGGACCAACGGATCGGTCGCGATGACTCAGTTGGTCAGTTGTGACTCAGATTGACACATTGCACTCGCTCCGAGTGTCCGAGCCGCGGGTTCGGCCGCGGGTTCGGCCGCGGGTTCGGCGCGGGTTCGGCCGCGGGTTCGGCCGCGGGTTCGGCCGCGGGTTCGGCCGCGGGTTCGGCCGCGGGCTCCGACTCTGGCCGGACCAGCCGTGCGCTCTGAGCTTGTTTCTTTAGTTCAGCGCTGCAGGGGGAGTCACTGATTTACCCAGATAAAACTGGAAAAAAAAATGTGATTGGTCCATTTCCTTTCCATTATATTAACCCTTTGTTTCCCAAGAAATATCAGTCCAAGTTTTTAACACTGATCTAGAAATTATTACTAGTGTAGTGTTTATTACTCACTGAATAAAAAATATATTAGTTGTACAAAAGTCCATTCAGTATTTTTTCTTGAGCCTTCACTGAAAACCCCTTTCTTTCCACTGTGAAAGAAACGCTGTTTACACAACAAATGTTTGGCTCTTTCATTTACATTTCCAATAAAAGTGCAGCTGTACTCTACTTTTTAATTCATTAATTGGTTTTGCATACAACATGCGATTAATCGCTCGAACTCATGCGATTAATCGCGATTAAAAAAAATTTAATTTTTGCCCAGCCCTAGTAATTAGACTTGCATGTATCAAATTATCTCTGGATTTACGTGATTTTTTTTCTCTCAGGACGACAACCTCATGGACGTGCTGCAGCTGCTGGTCGCCTTAATGTCCGAGAGCCCCGTGTCCATGGCCCAGGCGTTTGACCAGAGGAACGGCATCCGGTAAAAACGAGTTTAAAACTAACCCACACATTAGAGAGGTCCATCAAAGCATGGCAAAAAATAGTTTAAGATAACTTCAATTAGAATCCTGCACTAGTTTTTAGCTCCAAAAGATGATTTGGGAAGAAAAAGGAGATGTTTTAGAGGTTGTTCAAGCTGCATGAAGTTTCCTGGAAATTGACTCATTTTGTGTTTTCAAGTGACTTTTTATGACTTTATGGACTTTCTAAGGAACTTTTTAAGACATTCTAAGTAATTTTTATGCAAATTTCAGTTTGTGTTTGCAGAATAAAATGAGAAATTATTCAAATATGTGTGCTGTATGCGGCCCTTTAAACCATTTAATCCAGCCCTCCAAACTTGAATAAATTATAATAATAAACCTTGTTAATGTTTTGTTTATCCTGCATTTCCGGCATTTCCCAGTAGATGGCGCACTGTATATACATTGAGATGCAGCTTATTATGTTGGCTGCAGTGCTTTATGGGAAAGTGTTATTTCGGACTACAGTGACAGGAGTCGTTCTCGGTCGGTTTATTCGGACCATGAGTGAGGTAGAAGTGTTCAAGACGTAACACTGCACTGTTTCTATTCTAAATACGGAGAAAGTAAAATTTAAAGACTCGTGGACCACATATTATGAAGTCTTCACGCATATAGTGTCATAATATTCAACGGAGCAGGAAGTGTTATAGAGGAAAGATTTAGTTGGGTTTAGGCTCGTGCTGGAGAGTGTTGCAGTCGTGCGTTTTGGTTAGTGGAAAGTGAAGTTTAGGGAGGTAGGCGTAAGAAAATATGGTGACGGCCAGAACTAGATGTCGCCCCGGAAAGTGTTTCAAAAGTATTTGTCTTTTGGACGCATTCACACTAAACTTTACATCACAGTAACCGGATTAGTCATGCACCATGACTCATAAAACCCGACCGTAACCAAAATACTGATGTACATGTAAACACAATCATCATGAACAAAAGCAGATCAAATAGAACACGTTGCTCGCAGACTGACACACTGACACTGTTCTGTCCTTGTGTTGGTCGTTGTTGAGTTTTGGAGACGCACATTGAACTGAAGTAGATCTGCATCTTCTACAGTTTTTGAAATAAAGAGTCAGGAGGAGAGTGATGATGATAAGATCCTGAAGGAGAACAGAACTAAATAACTAGTAATTTTAAAAAAAAGTATTTTATTAATTAAATTTTCAGTATTTTAGAAAGACAGATATGTTGTTGTGATGTTTGTAGTGACTTTCAATTGAAATTCAAACACAGATTTTCTGCATATCTCATGTTATTTTTTTCTCTCCACTCCATCCATCTGCTCCTGTCCGGCCCTTTCCTCAAATTTTAGAACCATTTGTGGCCCCCGAGCCAAAAAGTTTGCCCACCCCTGGTCTAGAGCAACCTCAATTTTTTTTTAATTTGCCTAAAATTTTGACCCAAATATTTCGGACAGCAGTGTTGGGAAGGTGACTTTTAAAATGTAATCCCCTACAGATTACAGATTACATACATCAAAATGTAGTTTGTAACATAATCCATTAAATTACTTAAAGTGAGTAATGTAATCTGAATACTTTGGATTACTTGATTTGCTGTAGAGAAGCAAAGACGAGGAAATCGTAACATAAGAAGTTTTGTCTGATAAAAGAAAAAAGACCAGACTTTACTGAACCAAATAAAAATATTGATAGAAGACGAAGAGACACGTCCACACAGCAGGATTTAGTCCTGTTAAATCCTGTTTTAGTCCTGGTTTTAGTCCTGGTTTTAGATCTGGTTTTAGACCTGGTTTAGTCCTGGTTTAGTCCTGGTTTAGACCTGGTTTAGACCTGGTTTTAGTCCTGGTTTAGTCCTGGTTTAGACCTGGTTTAGACCTGGTTTAGTCCTGGTTTAGGCCTGGTTTAGTCCTGGTTTAGACCTGTTTTAGTCCTGTTTTAGTCCTGGTTTTAGTCCTGGTTTTAGATCTGGTTTTAGATCTGGTTTAGTCCTGGTTTAGTCCTGGTTTTTAGACCTGGTATAGACCTGGTTTTAGTCTGGTTTAGACTGGTTTAGACCTGGTTTTAGACCTGGTTTAGGCCTGGTTTAGTCCTGGTTTAGTCCTGGTTTAGACCTGGTTTAGTCCGGTTTAGTCCTGGTTTTAGTCCTGGTTTAGTCCTTTTTTAGACCTGGTTTAGACCTGATTTAGACCTGGTTTTAGTCCTGGTTTTAGTCCTGTTTAGTCCTTTTTTAGACCTGGTTTAGACCTGATTTAGACCTGGTTTAGTCCTTTTTTAGACTGGTTTAGTTTTAGACCTGGTTTAGTCTGGTTTAGTCCTTTTTTAGACCTGGTTTAGACCTGATTTAGACTTGGTTTAGTCCTGGTTTAGTCCTTTTTTAGACCTGGTTTAGACCTGATTTAGACCTGGTTTAGTCCTTTTTTAGACCTGGTTTAGTCCTTTTTTAGACCTGGTTTAGTCCTGGTTTAGTCCTTTTTTAGACCTGTTTAGTCCTGGTTTTAGTCCTGGTTTTAGTCTGGTTTAGTCCTGGTTTAGTCCTGGTTTTAGATCTGGTTTAGTCCTGGTTTAGTCCTGGTTTTAGACCTGGTTTAGTCCTGGTTTTTAGATCTGGTTTAGTCCTGGTTTTAGTCCTGGTTTTAGATCTGGTTTAGTCCTTTTTTAGACCTGGTTTAGACCTGATTTTAGACTTGGTTTATTTTAGTCCTGGTTTTAGATCTGGTTTAGTCCTTTTTTTAGTCCTGGTTTAGTCCTGGTTTTAGATCTGGTTTAGTCCTGGTTTAGTCCTGGTTTTAGATCTGGTTTAGTCCTGTTTAGTCCTGGTTTTAGTCCTGGTTTAGTCCTTTTTTAGACCTGGTTTAGTCCTGGTTTTAGTCCTGGTTTAAGCCTGGTTTAGTCCTGGTTTTAGATCTGGTTTAGACCCTACCGCACATGTAAAATAAATACAGTGTTTTGTGGCCTGTTATTATAAATTAAATGAATCTGTTTTGGTCTTTCACATTATTTTCTGCTCCGTTTGGTCGTCATGTCTTAGACTCATTTTTCCTTCAGCTTCAAGGATTTTTAATTATTTACCGATCCACCTCCATTTTCCTGTAAACGCCCACTGCTTTGCACTTTACTTACTTCATTCTCCGATTTTATTTTCTTAATCAGTGATGCTTTGGTTGTGTGTTCATATTAATACAAATAAAAGTGAGATTTGCAGTGGACGTCGCATTTTTCTAACGTCAGATTTTCAGACTTTCTTCTTTTAAGTCGTTTTAGATGAATATTCTGATTTAAAACGTCCAAATTATAACAGAAGGATCCACGGGTGTAAACAGTGTTGGGGAGTAACAGATTACATGTACCACAGTTATGTAATCAGAGTACAAATGATGAGTCACTGTATTCAGTTACAGTTACTGTTTCAGTGAGTGGTGATTGGATTACAGTTACTTTGTTGAAATAAATGGATTACAGGGCGGTATTTCCTGTTTTCACATTTTGGACTAAACCAGGACTAAAACCAGGACTAAAACCAGGACTAAAACCAGGACTAAACCAGGACTAAACCAGGACTAAAACCAGGACTAAAACAGGACTAAAAGCAGGACTAAACTAAGACTAAACTAGGACTAAAACCAGGACTAAAACCAGGACTAAAACCAGGACTAAAACCAGACTAAAACCAGAACTAAACCAGAACTAAACCAGGACTAAAAGCAGGACTAAACTAAGACTAAACTAGGACTAAAACCAGGACTAAAACCAGGACTAAAACCAGGACTAAAACCAGGACTAAAACCAGGACTAAACCAGGACTAAACCAGGACTAAAAGCAGGACTAAACTAAGACTAAACTAGGACTAAAACCAGGACTAAAACTAGGACTAAACTAGGACTAAAACAGGACTAAAACCAGGACTAAAACCAGGACTAAAACCAGGACTAAAACCAGGACTAAAACCAGGATTAAAACAGGATTAAAACCAGGATTAAAACCAGGACTAAAACCAGGATTAAACCAGGACTAAACCAGGATTAAACCAAGACTAAAACCAGAACTAAAACCAGGACTAAAACCAGGACTAAAACCAGGACTAAAACCAGGACTAAAACCAGGACTAAACCAGGACTAAACCAGGATTAAAGCAGGACTAAACTAAGACTAAACCAGGATTAAAGCAGGACTAAACTAAGACTAAACTAGGACTAAACCAGGTCTAAACAATATGACACTAACAGTAGTTTGGACATAATTTAAAGCAGCAGTGACTCATATAAAAATCATTTCTCTATCAATAATATTTTTAATATGCTTAAGTAAAGACTGGACTTTTTATTTTCTTTTAGCAAACAAAACAAAACAAAATAAAACATCTTATGTTCAGATTTCCTGGTCTTTGCTTCTCTACAGTAAACAGTTTCTTATTCATGGAGTTTTGGGTCAACAGACAATTTGAAGAAAACAAACCAGTATTTTCAGGATGTGTTTGCTACATTCATGTAGTTTTAAAAACATGACAATATCAAGTAATCCAAAGTATTCAGATTACATTACTCACTTTAAGTAATTTAATGGATTACGTTACAAACTACATTTTGGGGTGTGTAATCTGTAATCTGTAGGGGATTACATTTTAAAAGTAAACTTCCCAACACTGGTCATAAATCATAACATTAAAGCAAATCCAAACACAAAATATCTGCTTTAATCAACGTTAAAGAACTGAAAATAAAGATTGAATTACTATATTGTTTACTGTATGTTTGAATATCTTTACTATAACATTTTATCCTGTTTTTGTCTTTTACAGAGTCGTCTTTAAACTCCTGGCTTCTAAGAGTGAACCCATCAGAGTGCAGAGTCTCAAAGTCCTGGGATACTTTCTGAAAAACCTGTCACCAAAGTAAGTTTTATAAAAAAAAAAGAAACTAAACACTGCACTCTCTGTTCTCTGTTTGTGGGTGGAGTTTAGATGTTCAGCCCCACTTTAAAGCTATATTTATTATTATTTTGTTGGTTTTATGATATTTATTCCATTTTTATCCGTGAAAATTTACCTCTATGTCAAAATTTTTGGCATATTTACGTGTGAATTTTTACGGATGGGCTGGAGTTTCTTTTACGCACCGTTGCTTTTGGTATGCAGCTTTTTGGCCCAAAACATCTCCCCAAACCTGAGTCATATTTGGCCTGGAAAAGAGCCTCCTCCTGCTGGTTTCCAAGGAAATGTTGTTCAAATCATCCACAGTTTGGTGCTGTACAACCCTCAGAAAGTTACACACTGTAGCTTTAATGGTCCTATATTATATAAATTTGACTCCTGTGAGGTTTAAGCGACGTTATAATGTTTTTACCTCCACGAAAACAGACCTGGAGTTTTTTATTATTCGTCTGTTTACATCTCCAAACCTCAAAATGCTCTGCCCCACCTCGTGATGTCATGTAGTGGTTGTTTTCAAGATTTCTCAACCAGATCTGGGACCAAGTCATTGTTTTCTTATCTCGAGGCCAAAGACTTGAGACTGACTTAAATCCGAGTCAAGTCCCAAGTCGTCTGCTTTGAGCTTCAAGTCATTTCAATTCTTTAAACCAAAGTACCAAATATAGTTTAGATTTATGCAGTTTATATGAATTTTAAACTATACTGTACTTAAAAAGTCGTAGTAAATCAGTGGTGAAGTGTTCATTTCACACCCGGGCCTTCAGTCGTGCTCCTCAGGAAGTGTTTTATGGTTATAAAAGCATCTTATTCTACAGAAACACAGTATGAAGTGTCACGCAGGTAAATTGGACTCAAATGCAACACAAGTATACAGGCAAACAAAGTCTTAGTAAATAACTGAAAATGTCCTCTAATAGGTAATGTTATCTAACTATAAATCATTCATATAATGTGAACTAAAATCTCTTCCAGAACTGGGAAACACTCGAAGTACAGTGAACCCTCGTTTATCGCGGGGGATACGTTCTAAAAATAACCCGCAATAGGTGAAATCCGCGAAGTAGTCAGCTTTATTTTTTACTGTGATTTTACAATGCAATACTGAACTGCAGAATGAAACAAAAAATAAAACCTCTTTTCAGGCCCAACATGTGTTAAAGAAATAGAAATATTAACGTTTTCTTACAAATAACTATAATAGTTTAAAGAACGGTGTTGTAAAACAATATTTTTATATAGTAATGAATACAAGGTAGGAAACATTGTCACTCGCGTATTTCACAGTCCCTCCAGCTGCGCCTCTTCGTCCTGACTCCGTTGCGCTGTAGCGTCTTTTTCTACTGAAGGCTGCGCAGGGGTCTTTCTCCGAGAGAAGAACATCGTTATGGGTAGTTGTTGGCCTCTTTCTTTTTCTGAGCAAGAATATTTTTATAAATGGACATCCCACCTTCAATTATATTTGAGAACTGCAATGAACGACACATCAAAGGGTCCCGTTCTTGTGCCGCGCGCTGAATTTGGCAGAATGTACAGAAACGAAAACTGTTGGCATGGGTGTAATGAAAAACCAATATAAACCTTTTTCACTTCTAGACAACAGTAACGCCCCTAAGCCAATCAGGATTCACTGTAAAAAATAAAGCACTGTAAAAAATTCCGCGAAGCAGCGAGGCCGCGATAGGTGAAGCACGATATAGCGAGGGATCACTGTAGATAATGTGCTTTGATAAACTGAAACATCAACTATAAACAGGGGAACAAAAAGCAGAATGCATAAAATGTAAACAGAATACAGGTTCAGAATTTCCGGGTAAGAGCTTGAGAGTTTGTGTTCACAGGTCGACAATCTGGCGAAGACTGAGGGAGCAGAGGGAGAATATATAGACTGGGCCTGGGCTGATTACAGAATGAGAGGCAGCTGTAGGGAAAGGAGGGAGGTGGCAAAAGGAGGACCGGAACAGACTGAGAAATGGAACTGGACTGGGGAAAACAAGTAAACAAAAGGCAGAACTGTGACATGAAGAGCCGTGGAGATTCCGTGCACGGAGAAGTGAGGAGCTCTGAGGTGCTAAACCAGAACTAAACCAGAACTGTTTGTCGGGACGGGCCCAACGTGCGCCCTCGTAGACTGTGGGGTGACCGCAGACGAAAGGACCATGCTGGGGCCGGTGCTCCTGTGGCTCTGTGCAGCCGTCGCCCGATCGATCGCGCTTTGCAGACACCCTCCTCCGTTGTTTCAGAGGTTCGCTCTCTCGCTCAAGTCCAAGATTAGTCCTGGTGTAGTCCTGGTTTAGACCTGGTTTAGTCCTGGTGCCGCTACAGATGCAGTTTGCTCTCTGACTGTCCCAATCAGTGGGTCTGAATCCGGTGACAACAATAACCAAAATATCGTGATACTGTATCGGCAAAAGTCTCACAATAATATCGTGGACTGTCACAATATATCGAATTACAATTTCCTTTACTTAAACGCATAGTTTTAACGCAGCAACAGCTTATAAACATCAGGAACTACATTTCCCATGATTCATTTCAGCGCAGACAACATGAAGAAATTTGTTTTTACTTGAATTCTTCGGATTATGACGGAAATAATTCACACCAAAATCATGTCAAGGTTTTTTAAAAGTAGAAACGTGTCCCATCTACAATTATATCAGCTTCTTTAAAATATCGCAATAAATATCGTACCGTGAGATGCATATCGTGATAGTATCGTACCCAGAGATTTGGATATCGTTACATCCCTTGTATATTTATGAGTATTTAATATATAAAGAGTTGTAGAAATGTAGATTTTTCCTTTTTAAAAGTGTTGACAAGATCTTAGTGTGAATCATTACGGTCAGAACAGAAAGAAATCGGATTTAAAAGTGCTTCTCGAGTCACAGGCCTCAAGTCCGAGTCAAGTCCCAAGTCACTGACCTTCAAGTCCAAGTCGAGTCCCAAGTCTTAGTCCATTTTATCAAGTCAACAGCTCCTTTTACATTTAGTTCAGTAGAGTTGGCAAATCCAGAAGAGCGTAAATGATCCAAATGATTCTCGTGAAGGTGTGTGGAGTTTAAAAACACAGTGGAGCACTTCCTGTATCACCACATGATGACATCACAAGGAGAAGAACCTGAATCTGCAGGGTTTGTGTGTTAAACAATGAAACAAAACACAACTCCAGGTCGGTTTGTGATGATGAAACATTATAACACAGCCTAATATGGACGCTTTAAAGTTCATATGAAAAAAATAAAGGCGTTCTCCTGTATTTTGATCATAACTAGAGTGTAATTTGATCTGCACTTTCACGTCGGACATTCTAAACCGGCCTCCATTTTGTCTGGACACGCAGTAAATGAGTAAATGAGTAAAAGAAACAACGGAGTAATGAAAGGAGAGGAGAGGAAGGAGAAGGAACAGGGAAAGAAAAAATACTCAGAGAAAAAAAGACAATTCTTATTAAGTACAAGAATTATAATTTTTTCCTTTTTCTTATTTTTTATTTTTCTTTTTTGTTTTTTGTTGAAAATCACACCCGTAAACATAACCATGAACACTCCTGAAAATTTCAATCGATTTAGTGTTTTTTTAAGACTTGGACCTTGAGATCCTTTTTTTTCACATTAAATCCATAGATTTTTAAATAAAATAAAATAAAATAAGATAAAATATATTTTATTTTATTTTATTTAAAAATCTATGGATTTAATGTGGAAAAAAAAATAAAATAATAATAATAATAATAATAATAATAAATAATAATAAATAAATAAATAAAATAAAAATAAAATAAAAATAAATAAATAAAATAAAAATTATTTTATTTTATTTTATTTAAAAATCTATGGATTTAATTTTTTTTATTTTATTATTATTATTATTAATAATAATAATAATAATAATAATAATAATAATAATAATAATAATAATAATAATAATATTATTACTATTATTATTATTATTACTATTACTATTATTACTATTATTATTATTATTATTATTATTATTATTCTTTCCTTAAAACTTTTAGTTTGCGCGCGTTTCATCTCCATGGTAACTGCTGAACATTCCACCATAGAGATCCACGTAGAACACCCGATAGTTATTAGATCATAACTACAGTGTAATTTGATCCACACTTTCACGTCGGACATTCTTAACCGGCCTCCATTTTGTCTGGACACGCAGTAAATGAGCGTTCTTCTTTACACATGTTCAGGGGTCATAACTCAACGGGTCCATTTGACAGTCAGGATATGAAAACTCGCTCCCCGCTGACTCGTCTTTACGGGACATACTTTCAAGTTTCAATCACACTTCACGTTGACTTATAATTCTCTGTTCTCCACACACAGACCCTGGTGCGTTTGTGTATTAAAGATTGTGTAAGTTTTATTTGAAGATGCCCTACGTACCCTTTTGTTCCACAGTGTGACGTTAAACGGCTCTACTTTACATTTATTCAATTACAGGCGGGTTCATGGCTCAAAAATACCTACGAAAACACTCGAGGCCTATTCATACTTCATAAAAATATTTTGTTCTCGCAGCGAGGACTGCACGAACAAAATAACGTCATTTTTGTTTGGCTGTTGAGTCGTTCTCGCGGCTCGTTCTCGACATTTTCTTCGGCAGTTCGGCAGCGTTGTCAGATGTCTTCGCTCTGATTGGTTATTTATGTGACCGTGGTTTATCCGGGTTTGAGTCACAGCCGTGGATCTGTTAAAACAGGGGTGTCCAAACTTTTTTCATCAAGGGCCACATATCTAAACACAGATGAAGCAGAGGACATCGAGGGCCGTAGACTGATGCTCAGTACAGGGAATAATTGAGTATGTGCATGTTTAACATGTTAGAATGAGCCGTGAGTCTTTATTCATGCTAAGATTCTTAAAATCACACACTAAATATTACATATTTGCTTTATCAAGGTAGATTTTCAAAAAACTTGCACTAAATAATTATTTTTTAATTGATGTAAGGTAATTTGGGCCAATTCTCCTGGAAGTCTGAGGGCCAAGAAAAAATTGTCTGAGGGCCACATTTGGCCCCCGGGCCATAGTTTGGACATGGCTGTGTTAAAATAGCTGGAGGTTGTTGTTGTTTGTAGCTTCCTTCAGCTGGCGTAGTGACACTCACTGGTGCTTCAGCGAAAAAAGAAAAAGTCACACAGTGCGCCTTTTAAAACTCGTGTCTTTTTGTTTTTCAGGAGGAAAGCTGAAGTCATGCTGAGTCATGGTCTCTTCTCGCTGCTCACCGAACGCCTGATGCTTCACTCGCAGCAGATCTCCATGACGACCTACAACGTGCTGTTTGAGGTCGGTCCACGTCCACGGAACATTTACACACGAGTCAGATATTTTAATTTAAAGATAATTAACAAAGAGACAACGGGCTAACGAAAGGAGAGGAAGGAGAAGGAACAGGGAAAGAAAAAATACTGAGAGGGAAAAAAAAGACAGTTCTTATTAAGTACAAGAATTATTTTTTTCCTTTATTTTAAATTTTTTTGTTTTTTGTTGAAAATCACACCCCTAAACAGAACCATGAACACTCCTGAAAATGTTTTGTTTAAATCCATTTAGTGTTTTTTTTTTTTTAAAGACTTGGCCCTTAACACCTTGGACCTTTTGTTTCCACATTAAATCATTTTTTTTTCCCACATTAAATCATTTTTTTCCCCACATTAAATCCATAGATTAAAAAAAATACATATTTATTTATTTTATTTTGATTTATTTTATTATTTATTTATTTATTTTATTTTTATTATTTATAATTTTTTTATTTATTAATTGTATTTTTATTATTTATTTATTTATTTTTCAAAAAAACTTACCAGGCTGAAGTTTGCGTGCGTTTCGTCTCCATGGTAAATGCTGAACATTCCACCATAGAGATCCACGTAGAGCACCTGATATGCAATATTTGGCGGAGAACTTTTCAGAATTTGGAATATGCAGCTTTTTCCCTTTTCCTTTTTATGTAAAATGCCTCGACAAGCCTTTGGTTCTGTGATAATCTAAAGAATTAAGATTTAAAAGTGCTTCATATCTGTTACTTCTTTGTGTAATTTGCACTGAAATCGGAGCAAAGGATCATGGTCTATGTAGTTCCTTTTGTTTTTTAGCTTTTGCTGCATCGAAACAATGAATTTAAGCAAAGAGACTTGTAATTTAGCAAAAAGAAATATACGATACGCCTTTAAACCGATGTTATTTTTGCAGTTCACATTCTTACTCCTTGTTGTGTGTGTGAACAGTTATTTTTCTCTTTATTGTTCTCCTCCGTGTGTGTATTTATGACTCCTCGTCTCCTCCCGTCTCCTGGTAGATTCTTACGGAGCAGATCTGCACTCAAGTGAACTATAAACAGCATCCGGACCCCGACTCGGCCGTCAAGATCCTCAACCCGC